CAAATATCATAAAATGCAATATACTTTACTGCAACATTGTATAACTTTATTAATTTTAAAAAATAAAAGTAAAAAAAATTAAAAAACTAACATGAAATAAGTCAAGACAGAGGAATACTAGATAGAATAAAGAAATAGCAGAGATGCAATAAAAATATTATAGAAAAAATACACAGAAAAATGACTTCTGACTTCTACAGCAGATATAAATAAAACTTAACTTCAGCTCTTGTTATACAATTACAACATAATATTCTTTTTTATAATTCATAAATAATGCTTGTCATCAAATCCATATGCATTGATTTCATTTTATAAGTTTCTAGTGCAAATTAAGATGGTCTACTTTATTTAGAAATTTTAATAGAACTTTAGGATAAAAACTTTTTTTTTTTAAATAATTATTCTCAACTCCCTCTTCGGATAAAAGTTTCATCATTCTGAAACAAGGGTACTGAATTAGATGGAAGTTTCTGTGGACTTTACTTATCTTACTTGATTCTGACATAATAACAACCATAACAGAGTCAAAGCAATAGATCTTTGACATCACTCTTCAAAAGATTGGTAGCATAGCTCAGTTTCTTAAGATGGTGATTTGCTTGGGAAGCATTTCAAAGAAGACAACATACCACAGAGATTCAGATAATTAAATGTTCTGAAGTGGTCAGTACTTCTCTGGAACAAATACAGAAGGATTAAACTTGGCTGAAATATTAGCTTGATCATTTGAGAAAAAAGAAAAATAAAATTACTTTCGGGAATTATCTTTTTCTATTATTACCTTTTCCCCTCTTCCCATTCATTTGTTTTTTAAATCCTATAAAACCATCACGAACAAAGATTTGGTTATATAAATATATAGAAGAATTTTATTTTGTATAAGCAATTTTTACTATTGTATTATACCTTTTGAAATTATAGAAACTTCAAGCACAATTAATCAAATATCATTTTCTTTATAATTATCTTTCAAAATTAAATGTTAGCTGACATAATATTTTAACATTAAATATGTTTAATGTTTAATTAAATAAGAATGTCCCCAACATCCTGAATGGCCATGCATAAAATTGCTCTCATATAGCTCTGATGAGTGCTGTTAATACAGGGTTCTCAAACTGCAGGATTACAATCTCATTCCCCCCCCCCCGCCTCCCATTGAACAAGTGATAGAAATCCCCTAAGTGCTTTTCAAAAGGCAACTGAACTTTCTTCGTTTTTGTTCCTTGAAAACATTTCGTTTCTCATTCAAGAAGCTTCTTCAAGTTCTGGTTGAATGGGGGGGGGGAAGGGCTATGGAAGGATTTATATTCCTTAGCAGTTATCTGGTTATTAGCACTTTGAAGGTCAGTCATTAACTCTGAGATTTGTTGAGCCCACTTGGGGGTTTATCTCTACCCTTAGGTCACCTGAATCACAGTGAAATGGGACTGCGAAAGGACTGTGTTGTAGACAGGAGATAGGTGGTGTTATATCCCTCCCTCTCTGTTGACGTAGGGCTGTTCAATTTTAATGTAAATGGCCTCTTTGACCCCTCTTTCAAACCAGTGGTCCTCTCTGTCCAGAATATGGACTTTGCTGTCTTCAAGTAATAAAAATAAATATACTACTTACTTCTAATACTTATTTTTTTACTTCTAATATCACATGGATTTGCAGTACTAGAAATGCTCACTGTAGGCTTGCGTAGCAAAACAAGTAACAAAGCTCAAGAGTAGACTATGGGAACTTTATAAAAATTGCAGCAGATTTTCCTAGGCAAGCCTGTAGTTTGGTTGTAGGGAGTAAAGTGCAAAGTAGGCTTTGACAATCAGTTGGTGACTTTATTCTGATATCCTGCAAATAGTGTATATTACAGAAAAAAATATTTGCAAAAAAAACTTTCAATAACATGTTAATGCCACAGATAATTTCTGATTATAAAGCTGATATATTAGAAACCTCTTCCCATGACCATTCATAATTCAATAATTGTTTTATCTTAGCTACCTAAAATTATCTTCACTCTACCTTCTAGGGATGTGAAAGTTACCCAGTATCACTGCATTGTTCTAGGAAATAAAACATGCATGAGAAAAGAAAGAAAGAAAGAAAGAAAGAAAGAAGGAAGGAAGGAAGGAAGGAAGGAAGGAAGGAAGGAAGGAAGGAAGGAAGGAAGGAAGGAAGGAAGGAAGGAAGGCAGGCATCAGAATCCACACATTCACTGAAGCAGTTAAAAGTATAATACATTACTATTTAAATAGCCCTTCTTCCCAATCAGCTACAAGAAATTCATCTAAATGCAACTACTAAGTAAACATGCAATAGCTTCTGACAGGGGCATACCTCACCATATTAGGTAGTCAATATCCCAGAAAATAGAAAGGAGAACATAAGCCTAATAAAGTCATTGCTCTTAAGAGCAACGAAGTTTCTGATAATAAAGCAAAGAAATGAGAAACAGATACCACACAGATCAGCAGAAATAGCCCTATGATTGAGAATTAGAAGGATTTAAGCAGGGCTCTTTAGCAAAAATGGAAGTGTAATTTTCTTTCTCCAAGGAAAGAACAACACTGCATACCATTTACGCAATTCCCTTTTGACGTAAGTTATGTATGCAGAATGTGGAAAAAGAATAAGAAATAGTAAGTTAAATAAATTAAAAGTATCAAATAAGAAAAAGACAACCATACACAGCTAAAACTAGTTTATACAAACAGCAAATATTCTACTTTGCAAACTTTGCTTTGCTTTCCATCTTTCTTCACAATGTCTACATATCACTGCATACACTGGTTTTCCATTCTAAACCACTCTGCATATTCCATTTATTCTTATACATGTTTAATTCAGTCAAATACTGCTTACTTTATAACATTTGGTAACTCGATTTCAAGTCCATTGTACTCCTACACATGCAGAATTTTCTGTTAATAGTTAAGGACATACAGTTTTGGTAAGCCAAAAGTGCAATAAAGGTCTGGTTTTGCCCTATACCTAATCATGATACTCTATGCAAACTATGATCTCTAAATTAGATACAAACTTGCAAGTTAATATATTGTTACCTACAACTCAGAACACAAATATATGCAGCATACCAACATTCACTCAGGATGCAAAACGATTACAATGGACATTCCTCCTTAAATCAAAACTCCCTCAGAAATAAATAACAAATGCGATAGAAGATTCCCACTTTCACATACTCACTGATAAAGACTATTTCATATAACTAGTTTCCAACATTGTGTAACCTAACCTCATGCTCATTGCAATAAGCCTGCCTACTGTGAATGAATGTTCTACTGTATAATACTCATAGATATGTTTTTCTATGCTCCTGAATCAAACACATTTTCCATAGTTTTAGTGCTCTGGATATTAGTAGTTTCAGGTAGTAATTCAATGTCTCAAACACTACTGGATTTATGCTCAGTATTTAAAAAATTAGATATGCTAGCCATGACTAAATGATTTTCTTTACAGACAATTACAGTAGGGAGAAAAAAAACTGGAATAGAATAAAGCATTATTAAAAACAATAAAGACCATTGCAACTTACAGATAAATCACATTAAGAAAACTAACAGTAAAGTGTGCTTCTTCTGCATTTATAGTATGAGTTTGAAATATTTCTATATTTAATATAAATTTTCAAAATCTCATATTTGATTAAAATTATTCTGAATTCTCTCAGAGTTTATGTCTAATATAAAAATACAAAAGAACTGAATAAAAAGTTCAAGTTACTGTATAGTCTTAAAACAATCTATAACAGAATAACAGAGTTGGAAGGGACCTTGGAGGTCATCTAGTCCAAACCCCTGCCTCAAGCAGGAAACCCTATACCATTTTAGACAAATGATTGTCCAACCTCTTCTTAAAAACCTGCGATGTTGGAGCACTCACAACCTCTGGAGGCAAGTAATTCCACTGATCAATTGTTCTAACTGGCAGGAAATTTCTCCTTAGTTCTAGGTGTGTCTTTCTTTGATTAGTTTCGATCCTTAATATTGTCAGTTTTTTTCCCATGGTCCAAAAAAAAAATTATTTTACTATCCTATTACTCAAATGTTTTGTGTGTTAACAGTAGCCTGTTTTCAGTTTTTCCCTTTACTATATTGATCATTGGTATTATATATCTTTTAAGCAGACTCTTCAAATTGGCCTATGTGTCATTACATATAAAGATATTACACTGTCATGCAGTAAATCAGATTTGACTAAAAAAAGGCTGAAAAAGCCAACTGAAAAAAAGAACCAAAGTTTTGCCTAATTTCTGAGTGGTCTAACTGTTCCACATTGTTAATCAACTTAGATAAAATTTTATAGAAATAAAAAATCTGTTGTAAATTGTTTTCTCACTTTATGTTGTAGAAAGCATCCAAAAACCTATCACATATTGGTCTAGAGATTATTGGTCAAGATTATTAGATATTTTTCTTAGTTCAACTATCACTTCACAGGATGAAAAAGGAAAAACTACCTTATTTTCTATACATTGGATTTCTTAATAATTTATATATAAAATGTTTTTTATATTCTACTGTTGTTGTTTTGCCACTTCTGGTTTTGGCAAAAGCATAAATCTGATTTATGGCTTGGCCATTCCAATTATATCATAAATCAATTCATCCATAAGTGGCTGAGCAAAATATAAAACATGTTGTATTTGTTTTCATAAGCAGTGAAGTCTTGTTCGAAATATTCTGCCTTGCTTTTATGATCTCAGCAACTCCGCCTATAGCCTGCCTTTTATTATTATATATCTAGCTAGTAAGCTATAGTTTAGAGAAATACAAATAAAAACACTGATTATCATCATTATTATAGAAGGGTAAGAAGAGAATACCTATTACAAGGGAGAGAAAAATAGTCCAAAATGTACTGGAAATGATTTAAAATCAAATTGTTTCTTTTAAAATGTAAATGAGTTGAAAAAACAGATTTGGAACCAAAATTTGACATGAAACAGCTCATGAACAAATATCTATCTATGTCTCTTTGCTTACCTTGTCCTCCATTATTTCTTCAGTACCATCTATTTCTTCATCCTACAAAATAAACATACAAACGTTTGAAATAAATGACAGTTTTCTTCATAAGCCAACTGAAAAACATACTTAGAGAAACCTACCAAGGCAGACAATACTCATTTTTATAGTATTTAGAGAATACTATACCAGAGAATACCAGAAAAACTTCTGGTAAGTAATATTAATTAAAGCCCTGAAATTATTTGAATGTTTGAACATGAATCTCCAACTAAATTGCAAATTAGCTGACTGCAAAATGTGTTTAAAACATAATGAAAACTATTTTTGGAAAAAGCTCTCCTAAGAATATTAGAAACAAAGTGGCTAGATATACCTTATCTCTGTATCTCTTACCATAATTTAGTAGAAGCATGCTATCAATATGCAAGGTCTTGTTAGATTACCCATTTGAACAGGGTGTTTCATTACCCATTTGGAACACTATAAGTTTCATTCTAACATGTTTCTATTTCTCCACACTGTGAGTTGTATGACTGTGATTTCTGAGACTTGTTAGTGGTTATTGATGTGCAACAGCATGTTAAGAAGTTCATGGGCTTCTAAACCAGCTGGATAAATTTCAAAATTGATCTTGAGTTTCAGTAACTTTCCAAAAGTGTGCTGGAGATTGCAAAGAATCTGAGCATTACATCCAGTAGTTCAGCTAAGGAACTATGATTTAGCTATATTCTAGATAAGATGATGGGCAAAACGGTGCACATACCTGACTGCAACATTTAAAAGTTTGACAGACTAATTTGCAGCGAAATACTATTGAAGCTATTGTGAATCAATTAATTACTTAAGCATGCATTCAACAGTACTACATTATTATTTTAATTAGGGTTGTATACAGTAAGCTATTGTTTACATGTTATTGTTTTTTAATCAATGTTATTCCCACCTTTAGAATAATTTAACTTTATAAACAGTATGACAATTATAGTTTCGCTTAAATACACTGAAGGTCTTTTGTTTTCATTTTAGAATTACATAATGCCCTATGTCCTTAACAATTAGGTAGGGGTATAGGTCTATTCCTCTAATCCAGGGGTAGGCAACCTCGGCTCTTTTATGACTCATGGACTTCAGCTATGCTGACTCAGGAATTCTGGGAATTGAAGTCCACGAGTCATAAAACAGCCGAGGTTGCCTACCCCTGCTCTATCCATACCAGTGGATTAGAATTTAATCTTTCATTCTTTGGTTTCACTTATGAATGACAATACCTACATCCTTTGTAAAGAAAGAGATTCCAGTGCCTCTCCGTCTTTCTTTTGGTCGCCTTCTCTCTCTTACTGACTGCTTGTTTGAAGTTCTGTCATCCAGGTCCTGACCTTCGTATTCTTTTAAAAGAAACATAGCTTTAGCTAAAAATAGTAATTTATTCAACCGTGCCACCATTTTCAAAATAAGGCAAGATAGTATTCATACAGAGGGATTTTTTTCAGCCTTATCATCTACCAATCTATACCAAAATATATCTAAATGTTTAACACCAAACCAGTGAGTCTATCTAGTAGAGGTAGTCCTCAGTTAATAACCATTTGTTCTGCAAGTGTGATTTGCATCTTTTCCTGCTGGCTTCCCAGAAGCAAAGTCAATGAGGATGCTGACAGGAAGATTGCCAGTGGCTTGGGTCAGTTCTCCCACCCACGCACATCTCACCGTGCTTGTGCCACACTCCCTTGATCATTTATGCACACTTGCATACTTTCTCCCATCTGGCAACAGCCACTCCAAGCCCTAACGTACTAGTGCCGCATCTCTCCACCACCTATGCACTCTTTGTTCCCTGCCCCACCTGACTGTCACTTACCTGCCTGCTGGCCTGCTTGCAAGCCTCTCGGGACATGCAACTTCCTGCTGGCTCCCCCACCGACCTTGGTTGTTGGAAGGCAGCAGGTAGTTGCAAGGATATACTTGATGAGTGACCAATAGCAATGTGTACTGAAGGGGTTGCTAAGCAATGTGATCACATGACATTAAGCTTTATGACCGCATGGCTTAGCAATAGAAATTTCGGCCAAGTTGCCATCATAACTCAAAACCTATAATGGATTCAAATATTGCAAGTGATTACTGATTCAAAAAGAGAAAGGGAGAATTACTATTCTTCCCAAAGAAAAGGTACAAGATTGGCCCCAAATAATTGTAATAAAACTACTTGAAGAAAGGTATCCTCCCTCCCTCCCCCCCCTTTCTCTCTGAGTGTATGTGTTTGTGTGTGAGTGTGTATGTGTATGTGATGCTGACGGGCTGATATATTTAATATGTCTTTCATATAGACACAGATTCAAATAGTTATAAAGTATAGCAACATAATAAGTAAATACCATTTTTCTCCATGTTGCCAGCTGATGTGCTTTGGTAATCTGCTGAGCTCAATGAATCAGAAGATGCACATCGATTTGTTTTGGGCATGTGAGAACTTGAATAAAGATTGGAAGTTAAGGAAGGAGAGACAGCAGTTGTAGGTTTGTCTTGTTGTGCCAGGTATCTCAATCGACGACTGGAAGACTGGAAGAAAAACACAGGCAATAGCAATTGGTACTAAGGTAATGAACAAAGGCTACACACTCAGATCATATCCCTTTAGCAGAGTTGAATATATATGTATACAAAATAGTACTCATTATATTCTTACCATTATATATATAAAAACCAAGTGTAAGAGCCAGTGTGAGCTATAACTACGTGAAAAAAGAGAATATATATATAGTCACTCATGTTTGGGTCAACGGATGATTGAACAAATGTAATGTGTAATGGGGCTCTCACTTCTAAAGCCCTTATGTGGGCCTAGTTATTTGACTGCTCTGGTTTCTGACTGTCCTGTAAGATTTGACAGCTGGTTCTTTCTGGATCCCATTAATAGGAGCCAAGGAAGCAGGGCTTCACTGCCATGGCATCTTCCCTCTGAAATAACATCCCTCCCCAAATTTCCATGATCCCCACCCAACTGGCCTTTCAAAGAGCACTGAAAACATGGCTCTTCCCCCAGGTCTTGGGTTAAGGTACGCAGAGCTTTTTTTCTGTTTTAATCTCTGCTGACTTTATCTTTCAGAATTGATTGGTGTTCCCTCTTAATGATACTAATTTTGAGTACTATCTTTTTATTTTATTGTTTGTATATATTAAGCAGCTTAGCATCATTGGAGTTTAGGTGACCTAGAAATTTGATTAATGAAATAACAAAAACAAAACCCAGAACTTTTTGGATCAAGATTGATCACTTCTACCCACTATAAACATTATATTTTTATAGTTATGATCAACATGTACCTGCATCCCAGTCCTATTGATGATTTCAAAATGATTTAGATTGCAAATAAGGCAACTAACCAATCTTAATTTTTCTCAGGACTCTGAACAGAATATATTTCAAATAAAAGAAAGCTTCATTTTATATATATTAGAAAAATAAATATTAGCAATTATTTTCAAATATCTAGATCTTTTTTTGTTGGGGGCATATAATCATCAAATAGATGTTGATATGAATATCTTTGCTGTTGGCAGCTGATCAGGAATGGTATTCTGGAAGTATAATGAAGTACATTAACCCAGTATATAGGTGAAAAAGGCAGATTCTCTGCTGTACTTTCTATTTAATAAGAATTGAAAATAAAGTTACAGTATTATAATTTTATTTATGATGCTATGGTTAAACATGGAATAAATGTTGTATATGAAGGATACATTATCTAACTAATTCAGACTTTAGCTTCTCTGAGCCCAGGCCAGCATGGCCAGTAACAAGGAATTGGGGAACAGTAGTCCCAAGCAACTAGACAGCAGCTGGTCGCTTGTATCTACTCTTCACAGTTCAGGTTTCCCAATCTCAAAATGCTTATGTGCATACATGAAAATAATTCCTCCTCTGAGTAAAAATGAAAAACTGAAGGCAGAAATGTATAAAATTACTTGTTATATAAATAAAATTGTTAACTATAAGATTTTTAAACTCAAAAAGCAATAATAGGCCTAAACTGACTTTAAAGGGGGATTAGATATATTCATGGAAGCAAATACTCATAGTTTTGATGGTTATATATCAGTTCTAGTATCAGAGCTGATTTGATATAATACAAGTAAGAGGGTACTATTATACCCATTCTCTACTTCTGGGTTTCCCATAAGCACCTGGCTGACTTTTCTCTGATCTGGCAGAACTCTTAAATTATAATTATTATTGTTCACATTTTCCGCAAAAACTATTTAATGACATTTAAAAGGCATTTATCAAGTTATGACATCTGGCCCTGCCCTTGAAATAAAATGTCAACACTACTAACAAAGATTTGTTCCAACAAGTTATATTTGGAGAGATCATAGAGTCATTGTCATCGTTGTGACAATGGATATCCACGCTCTGACAACTGAGAATCAGCAGCCATTTTACTTTTGTTTTTAATGTGCCTCTTCTGTTCTTTTAGAGTTCAGATGTAGATGGGGGATGGGGTAAATGCTTGAGGGTTTAGCTAGCCATAACAATGCAGAAGTGTGGGAACTCAAGGACATTGTCTGATAAGCTTTTGGTGGGCTGAGGAGCTGAAGAGAAAAGCCAGTGTTTTGCGCTAATTGGGGAATGTGATTTATGCCAGCTTTTGTGGGGTGGGAATTAATAATAATAATAATAATAATAATAATAAAGTTGGAAGGGACCTTGGAGGTCATCTAGTCCAACCCCCTCCTCAGGCAGGAAACCCTATACCATTTCGGACAAACGGCTGTCCAGTGTCTCCTTAAAAACTTCCAGTGTTGGAGCATTTACCGCTTCTGGAGGCAGGTTGTTCCACTGGTTAATTGTTCTAACTGTCAGGAAGTTTCTCCTTAGCTCTAGGTTGCAACTTGTTACTTTGTATCTGGGGGAAGGAATCTCAGTTTTGGGTTCAACTATGTAAGTGCCGATATTTTGTTTCCTAATAAAATGTTCTTTAAAGAAGAATTATTACCTTGAAGTTCTTTTACTGGTTTCATCTATCGGAACCATGACAGTCATTCTGAATACCGTGTTTCCCCAAAAGTTAGACCCAGCCTGATAGCAAGCCCTAGCTTGATTTTTGGGGGTGGGCTAATAGAAGCCCTACTCCAAAACTAAGCCCTAGTTTTGGGGGAAGGTGAGTCCCTAAAGATCAAGCTAAGGCAGGGGTAGAGGGGTGAAGCTGTCCCACGCACCCCATACCCACTTACCTTACTGGTAGGACCACCACAGTCAGGCCTCCCACACCCCAATACCTGTCGTGCCGCTGCTTGACTTCTTCTGTGGCCACTTGCCGCCACTTGTGGCCAGCCATGTGGCACAATGCGCCATTGCTGCTCCTCCTGGCAGGACGCTGCATGGCACTTTGGGCCAATTCTGTTGCTTGTGGCAAGAGGCCATGTGGCGCTTCAGGTGATTTCTGCTACAGAAACGGCCCAAAGAGCCATGCATCATCCTGGCGCAAGTAGCAGAAATGGCGCAAAGTACCATGTGGTGTCCTGCCAGGAGAAGCAGCAACAGCGCAATGCGCCACATGGCATCCAGCCACAAATGGCGGCAAGCAGCTGCAGAAGAAGTCAAGCAGTGGCACGACCAGTGTCAGAATGTGGGAGGTCTGGCTGTGGTGGACCTAAGGTAAGACATTCTCCGACCTAGTGCCTCTTTTGGAGGCAAAAAAAAATATTAAACCAGGTCTTAATTTCGGTGAAACATGGTACCAGTATAATCAAATCTGCTGATTAAGTGGTATATTTCTTCACAAAGATCCATTGCTATGGTATAAAAATAAAGAAAAACATTACAGAAATGAAAAGCTATTTCTTTTAATAACCATCTTGTAAAAAAATGGGATATAAATTAAATAATACTTTTTCCTTCAAACATAATTCAAATCTGTTACTCAATAATTTTGAAGAAAAAAAGGATTTATGTATGGCTTCACTTACCTCTTCATCTATGTTTCTAGTCCATGGTGAGTTGAACTCCCTGGATTCTGTTCTGGCAATATCTTCTTGTTTTCCACAGCTTCCGTCACTAGCTCTGAGCCTGTCTGATCTTTCACTTGGCTGTTCCTGAGTAAACCGCTCTGCTCGAGACCGGCTAAAAGTTTTCTCTGCCTCTTGCAGGTCTGTAAGTGTTATACCCTGAGAAATAAGACAGTCTTTTTTAATGCGCTGTCTCTTTACAGCAGGGGTCCCCATTCCCTGGGCCACACTGAAGGTGAATGACAGGCGAATGAACAAAACCGAAACCAGGTCCAAGGAATTTTTTTCCCATGAAACCATCCCTGGAGCCAAAAGGTTTGGGGATCACTGCTTTACAGTCAATAAAAATCCCATCATAAATTATCTTTCCCACAGTGAATAAGCTTGGTAAATTTCTAATCAGGGCATAGTCAGTCAGATCAAGTAAAGTTGGGAATTGCTACTTCAGAGTATGCTAACGTAATTATCTATTAAATATAGCATTTCCAAATATTCAGTATGAAGTAAAGGCAATAAACATTTCTTCTCTGATGAAAAATAATTAGCTTTTTAAAAATAACAATTTAACTATCATTTATAACTTGTTAATAATATTCTTCCTTGAAAATAGATATAAACTTTGAAAAATAATATAAATTTATTTAAAGCAGGCCTTTGAATGACCAAAGATGTGTAAGAATTTTTTCCATTCTGAAGTGGATTAAGAAAAAAACTACACAAGACAAATTAAATAATTTAGAGATCACATTACCTTCTTCTATAGAAATTAATATTTCTCACCTGGGTAGATCTGCGAGTCTGACGAGCTTGCCTAGATCGAGCTTTCCTTAGAGATTCTGCTTCTTCATCTCTTACAGGTGTCAGATATGACCTATATTATAATAAAAAAGAACAATTCTTTAAACAGAAAAATAGCTTATGCCAATAAAAATTTCTGCTTATTCAAACAGTCGAGGTTTTCATCTGCTGCAGGGTATGAAAAGGGACCTTACATTAAAAATAAAACATGAAAGCAATTAAATTATTGAGTTGGGGTTAGGGTTGAGGTTAGCCTTAACCACTACAGCTTCCTTGAAATGGATACATTTAAGAATACATTGGCAATATATAATTTTGATTCACCTTGAATTATATTAAATTGTAATGTTATAAATAGGCTACGTTTTAGCTATAGATGGGGGGAAAGTTCAATAAAAACCACTTGGGCAACTCTAATGTGAATTTCAAGTGTTATTTAGCAAAAACATAAATTGGAAACTATATATTGGCATTTCCTCCCATTTGTGTTTTGCTTCCTTTTATGGTAGGTACAATACATTTGAATTTGAATACAGGGTGCAGTATTCCTGTAATGGCATATTTTGGGATATTTGACTATGTAAAGATCACGTGTGACAAGGGCTTGAATCCTAGGTCTAAATTCTTCTTGTTCAAGTTTCTTTCCTGTTTTTTAAACATAATTATATCTTTTCACTACTACTAGAAAAATAGTGTAGAAATTATTGTATTCTATTTCCACAGTGTCTTGCACTTTATTTTTTTTAATAAATATCTACATCCAAGTTTTCAAAAAGACTAACACCTTCTTTTTCAGTGCACCCACCAAAATAAAGGTTAGTCATGACACAGAATCTGAGATATTGAAAAAAAATGTAATAGTTGCTCAGATCAGTCATGCTGACAGAAGCTCATGGAAAAAGTATATAGGTAGTCCTCAATATACGACCACAATTGAGCCCAAGATTTTTTGTTGCTAAGCGAGACAGTTGTTAAGTGATATTTGTTCCATTTTATGACCTTTCTTGCCACAATTGTTAAGTTAGAACAATTAGCCAGTGGAACAACCTGCCTCCAGAATCACTGCAATTGTTAATTGACTGTTAAGTAAATCTGGTTTCTCCGTTGATTTTGTTTGTCAGAAGGTTGCAAAAGTTGATCACATGGCCCCAGGACATTGCAACTGTCATAAATATGAACCAGCTGCCAAGCATCCAAATTTTTATCACCTGACTATGGGGATGCTGCAATGGTCGTAAGTGTGAAAACAGTCGTAAGTCACTCTTTTCAGTATTGTTGTAAGTCTTAACAGTCACTAAATGAATGGTTGTAAGTCAAAGACTATCTGTGATATTTTATTAAATAAATAAAATAAATAAATAAATAAAATTAAATAAATAAATAAATAAATATTGTCTTCTGTGTAAAGTAATGCTCTGAATTTATCTGATCCTCTTTGAAAACTATCTATGTTGGTACCCATGATTACATTTAGTTGTAGTAAATTTTAGTTTAACTATGTCCTGTGTAAAGTAGGATTTTTTTTTTGGCCTATCTATAATTACCAATTTTGATCTTCTGAAACAATGAATGATCCCAGATTCTAATAATGTGAAAGAGAAAGAAAAACATTTTTATTTTTATCATGTCCTTCCTAATTCAACTGTTTTGATAAGTGTATATCGCATGTTTCTTCAAAAGCTTTTTTCCTCAAGAAATTCAAGTCTATCTTTATAGCATTCTCTCCTCCACAAATATAATTTTGTGAAGTAAACTTGACTCAAAGGCACCATTTGTCCCAAATCTCTAGTGAGTATCTATGGTTGAGTGAAACCCTAGTTTAAGGAGAAGGTATAATGAACACTCCTGTGCCCAGGTTCCTAAAGGAAAAGTAGCATAGAAGTCAAACAAATAATGGCTGAATAAGATTTAATTAACACTGTCATCTATATTATGATTTTGAAAATTGTGAAGTACTTTAGTGTCAGGCAGATTATTTTAGTTGTATTTATCTGAAATGATGGGACACATTTTCAAAGTAAACAAAAGGAACAACATAATTCAAGAAGCATCATTCAAAACTCAAAAAACTGAAGTGGAAAGTAGTATCTCATTCTCATTGTATGAAATATGACATGTGATAAATAATATCTAGCTGATTTGTGGTTTAGACATCTGATTCATTAAGTAGAAATTAGCAGATAATTTTAAAAGTTAGACAGTATTCCATTTGAGATTAAAAAGACAGCAAGAAATCTACTGCCATCTTGTGGAATGAAAAAATCTAGAAAGATGAATATTTTTACAAGGGAAAAAAACAGGCAATTGTTTGCCTTAATTATAAAATACTTGGAAGATTATACTTCCCTCTACTTTAAATATCCGGATGTATGTCCAATAACCATTTAAATGTTAACTTTTACTACTAAAATGATTGCTTGAAGGAAAATAGTTAAAACTTTAGCCAAACTACTCGGTTCACAAGTCTGCTCATAGTTCCAACACAAGGTAGATAAACAATTAACTATTATTTTCTGAGCATAAAGACCTAAAAAGAATGTAGTTAGTTAAATATCCTGGTCAAATTAAGCAAGCATGCAAAATCAATGTAATTAAAAATTTTAAAAACAGCACAATAGACAATACATAAATAAATAAAAGGTATTTTAGCCATTTTGTTGGGAGGAAACAGCAATTTTAGAATAACATTTTAGGATATCATTAACATACCCACATTTCTCTTCACATCCTTTGTAATGATTGCAAGTATATAGGTTTATATACTTGTATTTATAAGTTATAAATACAGGTAAATAGGTTACTTGCTGCTCTATTATTTTATCTGCCTAATTTCCCTTCACCTTCACTTTTTAAAATTAAGTCTAAAGATCACCAAGAATGCCCACCTCGAACCTTTACAGACAGACTGCCCAGGAGCTGAAATTCTTGCATGGACCACAGCATAGGAAATCAGGAATTCAATAATAACATACAAGTCCTGACCTTTTCAACAACAACAAAAAAATGCAGCTTGCTGTCTGATAAAGCAACAGTAAACTTTCCTCTTCCGAACATGGAAGTAATAGGAAGTCTGAAATAGCAGGCAGAATTCTTCCCTATCCTACATTATCATCAGCACTGGCAGCTTGCTTTCTAAGAGGACAAACTTATCGCAAAGCAATTAACAATGAAAGCAGGACTGATAAGCACTTTCAACAGTAGGTGTTGGATGACTGCAAGCTTCTTTAAGCCCTAGTCCTTTGCCGTCAACCCTAATACAGCATGAAGGGACAGATTACTTTTAGTTCCCTAAAGACTAAATTCATACAGAACATTTAACCAGGTGAACGATGCAGTGAGTACACAAGTAAAAGGTTAGAATAGTTTTAAATCTGGCTAGTTCTTCTGGGCCTAAGCATAATTATGCAAACATAGCCTGTTTCGTTAATTTATAGTTTTATTTATTGTGCAATTTCAGATTCAGTTAATTTAAGAAGACCCAAGTTAAAGAATCAGTCACATCTTAAAAGGACAATTCTGGAAACCTTTATTTTAATGAAAATATTACTGAGTGCTATACAATATACAAAAACTTGTAAACTAAAAATATCTGATTCTATAACTTACAGAGTAGGAACCCAAACCTTCAAGCCAAATTTAACCAATAAAATCCTTCTGCACTCTGAAATGTTTCCTGAAGCCTCTCCTTGGCCTGCTTTCTTTTTTCTCCTGAAACTTGCAACTTTAAATACTTCAAATAAGCAAACAATATCTCAATCAAGGAACTGCCAAACATGTTAACAGTAAACAACAACCCAATCAAGGAAACACCAAGGCCACACCCACCAAGAGCGACAAAACAAGCCACTAGTATAAAGCCACTGCCTACGAGCACTGATGATGTTACCTAGTTTGATAATGAAACATCTGCAAGAAAACATCCAAGCTCAGGGAGCACCAAGGACCACACACTTCAAATAAATGGCATCACAAGTAGTATAAAGAAGCCTCTCAACATTCTCTCAACATTTGCTTTGCTGATACTGTGCTCTGGAAAGAAGATACAGACGGAGCCAAAAGTATTTGTACCTTCCACTTTTTCCCAAACAATCCTTATTTGCCATAAAATAAGTTGCAACTGATACAAGTAAATGGCCAACACTGTTCTTTATTCCATAGTACATTGAGCAGGAACTTTACTTTTGATATAGGCCTTAATATATTCTTGTAAATAATAAAACAAGTGAAAATAGCATGGACATAATTTTGGTACTTATAATAATTACTTATAATTGGTGCTTACCATTTACAAAAGTATGTTAAATCATAGATCAAAAACAAAGTATTCTCTATGGACTATGGAAGAATGGATGGTGGATGCCAAAAGTTGGCCACATTGGTAGCTTAGCTTCTCATCTATCATAGTTTTCATAGAGAAGGGACAGATATAAGTTGTCAAAAACAAAGAAATCTTAAAAACAATATTTTTTTAAAAAAAATGAGATGGCAAGTAGACATTGAAGAGGTTGTGGGAAAGACTAAAGGGGGAATCTAGCTAGTAGTAAAGTTGCTATCATAGCTTATGTGAATTGAAAGAGAGACTATTGGAAATGGAATATTGTTCTGTTGGTTTCTATCTATTGTAAGGCTAGCTGGAGAATCTAAAATGAAGTGAACAGTTGACCCTAATGAAGATTTATGGGATGCTGAATGAGATTTGGAGAAGACTAAGTTAAATGTTTGAAGGTACAATCCAAAATAAAAAGAACATTGAAAAGAAAAAGCACCATAGGAAAGTTTTTTCAAAAGCCATGGGCCACAAATTAGATAGAATAACAGAAAATCAAAGGCTTGCTTCTCTGAAGATCATTAGCCAAAGTGAGGTTGTCTGTCAGGTCTACAGACTATGAAGGATGGTATTTTGCCTATTCATTTGATAAGCCCTTTCCTTAAACATATATGGAAAAATAGGATTAGTCCTAATATCTAATGATATAAAGGAGTGTTTATATGTTAGGAAAACAATATGTTATGATTGTATAAGGAAAGATATGGCAAAAACTATTTTGCCATATTGTGCTTACTAGAAAAGGGGGCAAACTGCCCCCACAAAAAATGTAAACCCATTAGCAGATCCCAAACTGGAAACTTGGATGTGCTTATCTGTTCCAACAAGGCACGGCTGACACTAAAATTGTTTCGTACTATTTCTGTAAGTTCTACAAAAAGGAACAAAAACTTGAACCTGTGTGATCCTGTTTGTTTCAATCAAATATACCGGAACATATCCTATGAATATACTGTAATTCCATACTAGCAGGAGCCGTGGTGGCGCAGAAGAATGCAGTATTGCAGGCTGACTCTGCCCACAGCCAGGAGTTTGATCCTGACTGGCTCAAGGTTGACTCAGCCTTCCATCCTTCCAAGGTCAGTAAAATGTTTGTTACGGGCAATATGCTGATGTTGTAAACTGCTCAGAGAATGCTGTGTAAAGCACTGTGGAGCAGTATATAAGTGTAAGTGCTATTGTTATTCATTCTTTTATTAATAAGGTGTATTCTGTACTAGGCAGCTAAATGTCTCCGAGCTTTTGGGAAAATAGTCAGCTTGATAAAATAATTCAAGGAAGTCTACCAGAGCTTACAACAGTTATCTGGAAAGAGATCACGCATCAAACCAGTTCACAAGAAAACTGTTAGGAAAAGGCTCTGTCTTAACAAAGCTGAAAAGTAAATTGGATTCTAAAAAGAAAGTAATCCAGTTACTGATATATGTGGCAATCTTATCTTACCAAAGATAAAGTTACCTCTTCAACTGATTTTGTTAAAGAAGAACAAGAACAGTATTAAAGAGGATTCTTTTCCTTTATGTCACCTATCAAAAGTCTGGCAAGTATTATAATAGGAACAATCAAGATTTATTTGCTATTAATATATTAATCTGGAATGAAATGCTTAGGAACAACACAGTGGAGCTCAAGCTCTGTTTCCATCAGGCATTTCTGATCTATTAATAGAGTTATATAGCAGCCACTTCAAATTGATACTGTCCAATATTGTTTAGCTACTAAAATCTATGCAGTGCAATCTATTTTTGCTGATATTTATGCACAAAGGACTGTCCCTATGGTTCTGCTTTCTATATATTACTGGAACAGTTTAAGATTGGATTACATCAAACGTGTTATCAGCAAAGTATGAATCAGAACTGTAGAGGAGCTTGTACATAAAACCTGCAGATAGGGAACTGAACAAAGAATTGCACTTTCCAGATATCTTTCAGCACCATAAAGATATGAGAGTGAATCAAGAAATTAGAGCATTTAAATCAGTGGAACAGCATACTTTTGAAAGGAAAGATGTTTCAGAGTGCTTACTTGTTCCTCCATAAAGTTAGCAATGCATTTAAATTTTAATCCAGTGACTTCAAATAGACAAGCAGCCTGTTGTGGAGGCATCTTAATGATCTAATATTAGTCTGGGAGTTTATGTTGTTGTTGCTAAGAGTAAGCTGTAGCTTTGGGAACATTGAGTTAGATAAATGTACTATTGTGACAGCTGCCACTAAATGCTGACATCCCAAACTATAATACCTGGAAATATATATCATTTTTCATGTTAAGTTTCTATTAAAAACTTCTTAAAAAATCTAGTGATCTATCTTTCTCAGCACCTATTTTCAATCTGCAAATTGCTCCTTGTTTAAGTTTCATATACTTTTAACTAATTTGAATATTCAACAAAGCCTAATCAACAAGATCCTAAAGGAAATCAACTGACGCCTTTGGAAGGACAGATACTGAAAGTCAAATACTCTGGCTACCAAATGAAAAGAGAGGACTCCTTGGAAAAGACCCTGATGTTGGGAAAGATTGAAGGCAAAAGGAGAAGGAGACAGCAGAAAATAAAATGGTTGGATAGTGTAATCAACACAGTGGCATGAGTTTGGGTAGATTCAGGGAGACAGTGAAGGACAAAGGGGAGCTGGCGGGCTATGGTTCATGGGGTTATGAAGAGTCAGATATGACTTAGCGACAGAACAACAACAAAATCAACAAGAAAATGAAACAATTGGCAATTCCAAATTCAAAAGTAACTCTCATTTTCTACCATGATCCACAAAATAATATCCAAGGGTCATTAAGTTAGTTAACAAAAAAAATATATTTTGAAGCATTCCCTTTTAAAGAAATGGTAATTACAAAATGTGTGAGAAGAACTAATTTATATTCCAGAAATCTTAGATCAGATAGCACTGCAATTTATTTGCTTGAATTTACAATCAAAGACCAGATCAAGAATAAATCTGTAAAATTATGAGCAGATACTTGAAGTAAAATACAAGCGGAATTAAAAAATGTATTGAGAGAAGTTCTAAGATTCAGTTATGCAAATAAAAATTCTTTAACAAGAATTAATAGATAAAATGTAACAGCTTTTTACATTGTTTCAACTTTTTAAACAGAATATTCATAACTCATACATCCACGGAAAAATTACCAGGCCAAAATTGAAGCAAGGATCCATTTACTTCACATTTCCTGAATGACAACACTAATACTAGGAAATATTTTATATAATAGTGAAGAATTAAACTCTCTCAAATATGTTACTATATAACATGAATTTTAGTGAAAGTAATTTTTATATTCAAAACTATATAACATGGCTGAGAGCACAACTTGAACTGTGCTAAATTATATGACCATGTTCTAACAAAAAGCAAAGCAAATTGACATGATTGTTAAAATAAGACAAAAAAAATTGGAAAACTTAATATGGTTTTACCTACCAGTGAATCTGTGCCACGCAATAAATGCAAATCATAACCCCATAATAGGCTCACTAACCTTCTTCGATCCCTGGCATCACCAGTAGATGACTCTGTTTCAGTCAGTGAGTTAGAATTAGTAGTTGTAACACCATTGGAACTTCCAGGTACAGTGAGATTTGTTATGACACTTAATGGAATGCTAGAGGAGACAGCCTCTGTGCTCTTCTCTGCAGTAGAGTCAGTTTGTTGTCGATAAGGGGCTCTGAAACATACAAAATGAGCTCGTAAATAATTGTAAAATACCTCAGAAGGAAGAAAAACAAAGTGAATTTCATTGTTAATAGAAGAATTATCTGGGACATTTTTTACAGTAATAGTGCTTTCTTCTTAGTGTATTATGACAATTAATATAATTAAAAGTGTTGCACACCATCAGGTTCAGCTAGCAAAGCAATGAGCACAAACAACAGAAGAAAAAGTTAACTAGAGAATTGTAATTAAAGAATCCAAGAAGAAATATCTTAATACAAATCAGTCAGAATGATAAAGTTGAGTAGCTTTGAGGTGTGTTGGGATACAAATGTCTATATCTCTTTACAGCAGGTGCTTCTTTCCCAGGATTGTACAGCTGCTCGCCTTCTTATTGCCTAAATAACATATTAGATGCAGAAAAACCATTGGGAAGAACGTTCAGAATGAAATATTATGCCACAGGAAAACCAGTGTCTTGACAGCAATAATACTGGGTTCCTTTATAAGCCCTCTTCATTATGATCTTGGCATATTATGCTCCCTTACCTGGTAGACTGGTAAACTGATGTTGTAGTGTTAGACCTGGTAGATGTTGGACAAGGGGCAATTTGCCACTCTGTGCCCAATGAGGTAGATGAATCAAGAATAGTAGATGAGGTAGTAGAAGATGCATTGCGATTAGCTGAAATGTAGGGACTACTTCTACCAAATGAAGCACTATAAGACAGCAGAAAAATCAATTTCTTCATAAATTCTTTAGATATAATACTAAGACCAGCACATGACCTATTCAGTGCTTAAGAAATATTCTGCAAAATGAAAAGAGAAATTAGAAATCAAGAATTGCTCTTTTGGTTGCAATCAAGTGTGGTCAGGTGTGCTTATCATAATTCCCTAAGTAAAGAAGCAAGATATTGGATCAAGATTGAAGAGAAAAAGCAATAAGAAAAGAAAAAGCAAAAGAAAATATGTGTTCATTGGCAAATGATGTACCTAAATAAAATTATTCTGTTTGATAAAAGAATGGAATGAAAGAGTCTAGACTAAAAAGAAAAGGTCAGAAATATCAAAGTTTTTTTTAAAAAAAAGTTTGCTAAAGTAGAATTTAAGGATGAATGATAAAGTGTATATGAAAATGCAAAGATAAAGGAAACAAAATTATTCCTAACTTCAAGTTAGCCTACATAAAAATATGGATATCAATACAAATTCCACAAAACCTCACAATCCTGCATTAAGTTTTATAATACAGGTTACTGAACCTATCAAAGATAATTGATAAAAATCTCCACTTTACTACATTCAGGGAGGCACAACTCAAAAATAAAAATAATAATGTTGTATTGATGATATATACCGTAAATGCCGGCGTATAAGACGACTTCTGTGAGCGCTGAAATCGGCGCCAAAGACGGGGGTCGTCTTGTACGCCGAGTCGTCTTATACGCCGGAAATACTGGTAGTTTCCGGCGTATAAGACGACGTTCTAGGAATGCGGCCTGGCTATAAAGACGGGGGTCGTCTTATACGCCGGGTCGCCTTGTACGCCGGCATTTACGGTACTAACAGTTAAAATGATTTAATATTGTATTTGACTAATAGTATAATTATGTTTAAAATGTTTAAAATACTACATACAATAAGAGCCGAGGTGGCGCAGCAGTTAGAGTGCAGTACTGCAGGCCACTTTAGCTGACTGTGTTCAGCAGGTCAGCGGTTCAAATCTCACCGGCTCAAGGTTGACTCAGCCTTCCATCCTTCCGAGGTAGGTAAAATGAGGACCCAGATTGTTGGGGGCAATGTAAATATATATATACATTGCTTACTGGTGTACACCGCTTAGAGAGTGCTTGCACTTAAAGCGGTATATAAGTCTCATAAATAAATAAATAAATAAATATTTAATAAACTTGGTATAACATTCATATCTTGATGCTACCATGATTCTGCTTGAAAGAATGTCTACATTTCCATAATAGGAATGGATCCTCATAGAGGATATATTAGTAATGATTAATAATGATCAAAGAAATCATAATTTGGGTTGCTGCCAATGCAAGAATTTTTTAGAAGGCATAAAAATATTTCATAAAGATCACTAAGATGCAGCAAGTTCATTTAGCACTTGAAAATTGCTTTCTAGAAATGCATCTGAAAAAAAGATATGCAAAAAAAATAAGTGACTAAATGAACCAATTCTCAAATTTATTATTGAGTGTTTTTGTGGATTTATTTCTATCGAAAGATATGGGTGAATTGTTTTGTTAAGTACTAAACACTTATAGGATGTACAAGAATAGAAATAGAAAATACCTAATGATCAACAGATTCCATTAAATTGGGACATGAATCACAGCAATAAAAAATTCCTTACAGATTACTCATAGGATCAAGATGGAAGAAAAAAAAAGAAATAAGGTTGAAAGATACATGCCAATGTGAGCAACAGATCTGACATTATGTATGCACACTGAAACATACAGTAGAATAAATCAAATTTAGTCCTTTCCTAAATAAACAGACTATTTGTACCGGAGACAATATGAAGCAGACAGTCAATAATGCAAGAGTTTAGATTATAGCTTGCAAGCTATCTGTGATCAGATAAATTTTGTATTATCAAAAATACTGTGATTGTATCAGGCTAATTAAAATTAAAATTTCTACTTTTTGTTGACCTAATAGGCAACAATGCATAAATAAATATCAAATACTTTAAACTCAACATTCTACTTAAACTAGCGAGTTGGTTTAGTAAAATAAAATGCCATTATGAAAAAAATCCTAAAGCCTACAGCTCTACATTTCTTTGGATTCCTACTATGTTGTTTCCTTAGGATATTCAAGAATAAACAACATGATTTATCCTATACCTGATAATTTGAGCAAACTAAGGATTCTATGGATTGTAAAATCCAAGGACACAAAAGCTGCAACAAATCCTGGAATCAGATTAAAAGAAATGCAGAATCATATAAATTTAATAAATAAATAAATATTTATTTTCACAAGAGTATTTGTAATAGGCCTAACTAATAACAGCATAAACAAAGAGATCATTAAAATATTTAAAGCTATGTTTATAATACTGAATTTTTTTTTAAATGAAAACAAATTGCATTGCAGGTAACAGACTATACCTATTATCATGGGAATTTATTTCTAATTGAGCAACAGGTCTATCTTCTATGTTCTTCTCAAGCATTTGCCAATTGTACTATCCCAAAGCTTACCTAAGCACTCTCAATCTCTTTAAAGACAGTTTATGAGGAGGAGGAATAATCTGTTGTGCCATTAAACTGTTGGGCTGACATTACTGAGTACAATTCATTGTAAGAATAATTTACATGGAGAGCATTCAAAAAATAATATAGTTTCCTTATCGGAACATAACTTTGAGATTAATATAAATTTTAGTTACATTATCTAATGTGCCATTCCTGATATCTATGCCATGTTGTCAGCATGTAAGCTACTGCTGCCGAAATGTTTTCAAGTCCACTTCTAAATTCATCTAAGCTAAAAAACTGGCCATGTCTTATTCAGATTTATCCAAAAAATCCTGGATAACTCCTACAAATCTCCAAATGTTTGAATTGCACATCCTGTCCTCTCAAATATGGCTTGTCCCCAGACTATAATAAGGCTGAAATAGACTTTTTTTTAAAAAAGAACTATATTTATTATTTCTATTAATGATTTGAATTGTTATTCTTTATAGCTACACTAGTATATATTTATGTCAGACTGTTTTAAAATTAATATGATCTCACTGCTTTTATTGATCTGCATAATCTTTTTTCAAATAACCCTTTCTCTGTAAATAATAATGTCTGCATATTTATTTTCCAGGTTTTTTAATTACTTCAAAGCAAATGACAAAAGTGTATCATATTAATTTGCATATCACACAAGAAACAAAATTTTCCACAATGATACCTACAACCTCCACTACAGTTTTAGATTAAAATAATACTTTCTTATATTTCACAAGATATATTTTTATATGGATAAAGTTTTTCATGTAGAAAAAAATAAAATGTTGATAAATCATTGGTCTAATTATGCAATCAAAAGAGGCAAGTAGACTTGCTATATCATTTATCTTTTGGTTTTCCTTTTTTCTGGTTTTATGGCAGTCAAATTTTTTCCTAAACTATTTAAAAATAATAAAACCTTATACGCTTTTCCACCAAAAGTTTTAAATACACCTTACCTTTTCATATAGGTAGATACATAGGTGGAAGGTGCACCAGTTGTAGCGGCTTCATTCCCCTTTGGATCCTCTTTCCATTGTTGACGAGAGTAAGGACCACTCCGCACCAAGTTAACAGCAGATTCTCTAAAATGGCAAATTGGGAAAGTGAGGCGGTAGTTACAATTTTGTGTTTTATATTCTTCAATTCTGACAATCTATGATAAGACACAAAGACTATGTTAGGATAACATTATGTTATGTGTGTTTTAGCCCAAACATAATCAAAGTCCTCCTCCCTTAACCTATACAAGCTAAAAATCACCATCCTGTGGTTCACTTTTAAATTGCTAAATCAACTGAATGTGCTTTGATGAATTGTTCTGTTTAGCAGTGCTACTAAGCTGCATTCAGTTGTCACACTAAATTAAAAATAAATAAGGGATAACAGCAACCTGTTAAGATCAAAACAAGTAGAATTTGCTGGGACTGAGTATGTCAGCAAAATGCACCAACAGCATTGAGAAATACGCAGGTAGTCTTTAACAGCAGTATTTGAATTGTGATCACATTCTGATCTATTTACACAAATCCAAGCAAAATGCATGCTTGCCAAGATCAAGCTAGTACTGGAGAAAAAAAGTACTGGAAAATAAAAACCAGCTGTTTAGGACGAAACATTTTATATAAATATCTTCTATGTTCCTGAATTGTCACTAAATGCTTCAAATATAGATAATATACCCTGAAAAGATTAAGGATTAAAGTATGAATAAGAATCAATTTTGAAGGACAGTTCTAATAGATATTTTTTTTAAATATTATATAGTTTGAGGAAAGTGAAAAATACGTATGAACATGTCTTGTTCTCTGTGATTATTTTTCTATTTTATACTAACTGAAATATGCCATTCTAAAATGGATATGCCATGTGAACATACTGTACATGAAATAAAAAGCAGATATATTCAATTCTCTCATCATTTTTTAAGGTGGTGATATAAAAGAACTACAGCCTTGGTGCAGGTCTTGAAGAGATGCCAGGGGCACAGTCTTTCTCTGTTATCGGTGAATGGTTTGAACCTGTTGGGTCTGAGGAAATGGACAGGATTCTTATGTCTGTGAGCTTGGCCATTTGTTAATTCATTCCATGCCCCCCTGCTACCTAAGTCCATCTAGGACAGGAGTCTGCAACCTTGACAACTTTAAGACTTGTGGACTTCAGCTCCCAGAATTCCTGCTGGCTGAGGAATTCTGGGAACTGAAGTCCACAAGTCTTAAAGTTGTCAAGGTTACAGATGCCTGATCCAGGAGGTGACCCGTGGTTGGGTTCTAGCGTTCATGAATTCTTCTTTGAGGGAAAAGGCTGTTCCTGCATCTCATAAGGAAATGTCATATTTGTCAAATGGACAGTTACATTAATTTGATCAATAAATAAACAAAATAAATAAACAAGGAATAACTAATATATAATGGGAACATATGTTACTGTATCAGAACAGTATTTTAGTTCTATAACTTATATAACTTTAGTTATAGTGTAATGATAAAATGAAACGGCTGATCTCCAAATGCTAAGCAGTGTTGGATCTGGTTGGTATTTGGATGGAAAAATTCTATGAAATAACAGGCCTACTGGATAGACTAGGAAACTGGAAAAAAAAAACACTGCCAAGAAATTATATGAACTTGTTCATGGATTTGTTTTTTATTGCAAAATGTAACCAATGTGTAGGAGAAATAAGGAAAGAGAGGGGGAAGGGAGAAAAATTGTCCCAAGACTCAATTCATAAATATTTACTTCTATAAATCAGAGGCCATTATTGAAAGGCTCTTACCGGTTTTCCTTTTCTTCAATGTCACCTGTATTATTTAATCTTCGAGGGGATATTGAAGCAAAATAGATTCTATTATCCTTGTTCTGCTGAAATAAGAACAAATTCTTAAATTACAGCAATTTTTGGACAAAAAATAATTATCTCAAATAGTGGCTGAAAAATTATACAATTTTGAAATAAACTGTTTGAAATTAATTGCTTACGAAACTTTTAACTAATAATTGTGTATAAATCCATTACAGTGTTGTCTCAATTCTTACTTTAGAAAAATGTTTTACTTTTTTACAGTTGTACAAAAATTTAGTACAATTTTTCTGTCTCATACATTTCAGGACATAAAGCTAGTTTAAAACCCATAATTTGCTTATTTATTATATATTGATGAAACCGGCAGCTTCAGGAAGACATTAAATCAGATAGGGAGAGACCAGGACCTGGGCCCACCCAGCACAGGAATGTCTAAGGGCTCAATCTCTTATTCCCCAATAATATTCGGAAGGATACAGAGAGGTCCTTTATCTCCCTCCAAGTGACCAATAGCCAGATCTTAATAGATGGCATAACTTATCCAGAATCCATTTACTTGGAGACCAAGTATCAACTACAAGAATTATCTTGGGCATTTGGATCCAGGAATGCTTTTTTCAAACAGAGCACATTATTGCCTTTTCCAAGACCAATAGCATTAGAGCTGAATCAATCCACAGAGAAAATACAATTAGAAGTAAACTCTGGATAGCATTGACCATGGTCAAGATCAGCATCAATATAATCTGTGTTCATAATTTAAAGTGAAGAAAAAGTGTTAAGTTTTTGAAAAATAGAAGATAGATAACAATCAACCATAAGGTCCATTCCTCAAATGGAGTTAAGTCAATTTCTGTATAACAGGAAAAGCAAATCCTAATTCAAGTTAACAAGTATAACACTACACAAAAAAAAAACAAAACAAAACAGCAATTAGATTATTTAGCATTATTTTAGTTTTCAAAACATGGATTTCAAAGTCAGGGAAGCCAAATTATTCTGTACCTTCTCTTGATTATCTAATAGTGCAGATATCCGAGGGGTTGAAGAAGAGTAATAGATGGAGCTGCCTTTCTCTTTGAGAGTGTCACAGGGCATGCTGCCCTCACTAAGTGCATTTTGGCTGCTAGTTTTCCGCAAGCTTAGCCTCCATGATGATGGTGATTCATCTTTTTGTTCTTCAGTCTTGTTGAGCAATGGATTACACTGTAAAATGTGGTAGAGAGAGTGGCTTGACATAACTGGAACACTCTCAATTACCTAATTCCAACACTATGACAGTGTCAACAAGGAACAATGACTTAGAGAGGTTGCAATTCCTTTCACTGTATGTCTTTAAGCAGACTTTAGCCAGCCATCTTTCACTTGAATTCCTGCACTAAACAGCAGCTTAGATTCAATAGCTTAAATGGCCCCTTTCAGCTCTAAGAGTTTGTCCCCTTTTGAGCAACTAAAATGATCCCTTTCTACCTCACGGATACTTTAAATTTTACTCAGAGTGGATCTCCGGGGTACATGTTAGCTTGAGAAGGACATATACAGTGGTGGGATTCAGCCGGTTTGCACCGGTTCAGCAGAACCGATAACTAAATTTTGCTGAGTTTGGAGAACAGGCTGAATGAACACTGCTTCCAGAAGTCCATTTTAGGCCTCGGAGGCCTGGAGGAGGCTTTCCAGGCCTAGAATGGCCCGCCGGAAGTGCATGAATGCCACTTTCGGAAGTTTGTTCTAGGCCTCGGGCGCCCAGGCCTGCTCCAATAAGATAACCGGTTGTTCAGGTATTTGAATCCCACCACTGGACATATATGTTCTCTAGGATAGCACATTCTACTGAATGATAAAACAATTGCATATTAAATGCCAAGACAATTGTATCAAAATATCATTTTTTTCTAATTAAATTTATAGAAAATGTCATACCTACATTTATAAATATGTGTATTTCTCCCCTACACGTATACCCACACCCTCTCTAAAATGTCAATTTGCCTATGTTAGTCCTTTTTAAAATCATGCATTAACTGATCTTGTTTAAACATATTAATTACTATGATTTTTTTTTGTTTTAGAAGTGAGAGTCTGACTCATTCAAAACAAGTTATACTATCTATAGCAGAGGTATTATTAAAATAGTTAGGTTCCAATAAACAATTTAATTTAAGCTAAAAGTTCAACCCCTACTAAGCATTTCAACATCACCTAAATAAATCAGAGGTATTAAATTAATTTGTACTGTAATCCAATTAGTATCTAAATAGCCACATACCAATTGGAGTGCTTAAATTAATTTGTCTAATAGGTTTTAGATGTCACATGGTAAGCCATATTTTAAATCTGAGCTGTTCCTAAATCAGGCATGTCAAACTCGCAACATCACGTGACGTCGCGCAACGTATCAGGCCGGTTTTGCCATTGCCAGCAATGAGGTGGGCACGGTTTCCACGTGATGCATCTGGCCCACGGGCTGGCAGTTTGACACCCCTGTCCTAAATCCTATGTGGTATGTTATTATTATTAGTAGTTGTGTTGTGATTATTTTAAATGTATTGACTGTCCAACTCCAATCAATACTATGGTAGCAGATTGCTAAATTTCCATGCCTGTCAATCTCTTAATAGAAGTCTGCATGTGAAACAGAAATAAGAGTATTTCTGGTTTCTCCAAGACTAGAATCTAGAGTACAAATCATGAGAAGATGTATACTCTAATCATAATCAGTAAGAAAGTTAATTAAAATATTTGGAAAGAAATATCATCATTCAAACTTACAATAAAAACAATTAGTGCATAGTAGATACTGGAGACAGATGATGGGGACATAAAGAAATATCCTAATTCTGACATACTAAAGTCAGCAGACTGGTATAATGCTTTTGAAGGATTCAACTTTCATTTTGCTCTTCTGTTTCTATGAGCCACTCCACATTCAGCATTTAAACCCTCCCATAGTATGTTTGCAAGGCTACATGCTGTTATTAATATTGGCCAGCAGAAATGATTAACTGCAGCTCTGTTCCAGATCATAGGAAACTACTGCAAAAAAGATGCACTCTTATCAGCATTGTGGCTTTGCAGTAGGCCATTTCCATTAGCATGTATTCCCACTTCAGTCAGCCTATTAGTCCTTGACTCTTCCCTCTTATTGTAATTGTTAACTCAAGGCTATGCTTGAAATTATAAGCCACTGGTTAAACCACTGTAGCATCTTGAGAGTGTCTAAAATTGTTTTGTTAGAATGTGAGTAAATAGTTAATTGGCCAGTTCCTTAAACAGAAGGCAAGAACTAAGAGAACTTTGAAAGAAAAAAGAAAAGAAAAATATATAGTTGACAATTGGACAGAGAAAAAAAGAGTAAGAAAACAACTAATGTATCTTAAACAAAAGGGGAGGAAAAATCTGCTAAGATTTTGAGACAAGCTGCACATGCTTTCTGTAATAATGTAATAATGGAACATTTATCCTTAAAAATAATTTTGTATGATATGCTCATGGAATGTTATTTGTTCATGACCAGTATTCGTTCGTGATCAATGGGTAAATACAAAGTTGAAAGTAATACTTGCTGCCAAATGTCTAACACACTTTGCTACCACATAAAGAATAAGAGATGGCAATATCAATATAAAATCAAACTTCAATCTCTGAATGTTTTTCTTTTGATTTTCAATGATATTTTAAGGAATACTTATCTAACTTACAATATATTTGGAACAAATCATGTGACTTCTGTATAAATAAATCCTGATTTTGTTCCATTCAGCAATGTTGCAAAACATGTTCTCATCCCAAATTCACAGAGCAGCAGCTCTGCAGCTTCCACCACTGTGAGCAGCTTTTTAAAAAAGAAAGGAACCCCTCCCCCCTGATCCCTGTTACACAAATGAAGCATACGGTAATGGCAAAACCTGAGGGCAGGGGACTGATAGGCTGTTGATTTTTCCATTCTCCTATTGATCAGAGAGCATTGGCCAGCAGATGCAAAATTCTCAGCAACTGCAGAAAATACAGTCATAGGATGTTTTGAAAATGATCCCTGTAGCCTTTTCATTTTGCACTCTAACCAAAATTATCTCGTTTAGTTACAATTGGCTATTTATTAATTACTAATTAATATAGAAAAATGAGATGTTTTAATTACTTGGTTTTTCATAGCACTCAACCTTTTCATTTTTTAGATGGATTCCTATTTGACTCTGTGAGTCAAACATACAGCCCTCTTCTGTATGTTTGACTCACAGAGGTGTCATCTCCTGTTTATAGCATATTTTGGAAATATCTAAAGAGCAAATGATAGTTGCTCCTACAGGTTGCTCCTACTGCAAAGTTATGCATTTTTTTCACTGTATTCCAGGTATTATCACTGTATAGATTCTAAAGAGCAATAACATTAAACACTGCCCCTCTTTCTTCACCCTAATAGTTAATAATTTCCCAAGGAGGAACATTTTTAACTAAACCTTACATTCAAACAAATAGTTCAATACCTTACATTCAAACTAATTTAACCTATTTAATGAAATGTACTTATATAGCACTACACAGCTCACTTTTATCATCAGGAAATTGACACTAATTTCTTCCAATCTATGCTTTCTGTTTTACTGAAAAAGAAAATGCTTAAATATTAACATGTTCAATTCCACAATTGAGCTGTTCTAACATAGCTCCCTCAGAATGTTCTTTGCAGTGCATAATCAGTGCCAACTTTAAAATAGTTACAATTCAAAGGAATATCAACATTCTCCTATATGAACACTTGCAGAAACTCTTGATTATAGTGCTTTCAGTTGTACATGATACAAAAACAACTGCAAACAACCTAACAGCTGTCCAATAATCTCTCTTGGAATTTCAGCATGCAGAACAGACAGTAAAATTTTCATGCATACTGGTACACATTACAGTTACAATCTTACTTTTTATAACACTGACCATCTAAGCTCCTGATAGTTTATAACAAAAACAACATCATAATGAAAAGGTAAATATTAAAAACATTTCACAAATTGTTTAAATAATTGCAGAGAAGGTCAATTCTCCCAATCTGGCTGGGCATCTGTTACAGTCAATAGAAACTCAACAATGATGAAAATAACTTAGATATCAAGTACATTTATTACTGACTAGAAACTCTTTATGGACTTTTTGCTGAAAATGGAAAAAATGAATTGGAGAGTTATGGATCTCATGATTAGAAAGACTAAAATGTGATGTAATTTTAAAGAGGGAGGATAGATGATAAATGTATTTATAATTGTTGTAAAACAAGATTGGGAGCTGCTTCTTTAAATTTTTTCTTTTTCATTTCTTTTTTTCCTTTTCATTATTTATCTTTGTTTACCCTTTTCTCTTTTTCTTAAATTTGTATTTGTTTTTAATATTGCATAAAATTTTTCAATAGGAATGATGAAGATACCTACATTTATACTGAGAAAAAAACATGATTTTTTTTCAGAGTCAACAGATTAACAAATACTGAATTTAACACCATTGAGGACATGAACCCATTTAAGACCAGGGTTTTTGCAAAAAACTGCAGTCTGGTATTTCCGTATAAAATTAAGTGTATACAAAATAAGCATAATATTTACTACACTTTTTCTGGCATTGTGTTGCTGATTAAACTGTAGAAAGATGGGAAACAACGGTTTCGGTTCCAAACCAAACAAATACCAACAAATATGTCAATCAACTCAAAGTCAGTTCTTGAAGCTTATTTACCATAGTACTATGCTTTTTCAAAATAGACCATAATTTCATTCTTTGAATGATTACACAAAGTAAGTTCCATTTAATAACAGAATTTAAGAAGTCATTCTTTACAGGATTGAAACTTTAAATTTAATCTCTAACCCCTTACCTTAATTCACTGTCTACTTACTTTTCTAGCAGGAGCCATAGTAACAGTGTTGTGTTCTGGGGGTGGTATTTGTTCTGTGATGAGAATTCTGGATTCATGATTGGAATGGTTTGCAATAGACTCTTCTTTGTTCTCTAAGATGGGTGACAGAGGATGAAAGATTTGCAGACATTCTACAATAATTCTAGATTTAACTGAGTGATGTGTTCTGGACATTCTAGTCCCATTCTTTTGAAATGTTGCAGTTAAACATATATGCCCATTTGAGTTATTGTAAGTTAATCAGTATATATTTAAAAAGCCATTGCTCTACTGTATGGTCTGAATAAAATGTTGCCACTGTGGAACAGTAATTTTCTACAATACCTACTAATTTTCCACACATTATTTTAGAAAGGGCTAGAAAAGTCAAGAAATTAATAAGTTCATTCAATCTAAAGATTTTGATCCCAAATTTAAATAAATGCGAAGCTACTTTAATCTAGGTCATAATTGATTCATCAATAATTGCTGTGCCTGAATTTATAATAAAAATATCATTTGAAACTGGTTCTGAAACTTGTAAACGAATGAAATGGCATTTTTTATGTGCTCTATACTTTGTCCCAGTCTGTTTTAGATTGAACTCTATCTTCATCAGGCCTTCAGAAAGAACTAAACATCAAGTACTAAGGAAGTATTAAGTTCAAATTTTTGTACATTTTATAAGATGGCAATAAATGGTACGAACATTGTCAGGCACAAATTTCTGGGAATGCAGAAGGCTTCAGATCATCCTGTGATAAGAGGTGAAGATAAAAATGCCTAAATCTGAATACCAGAGTCCTACCCCCAAAAAACCCTACAAAGTATAAAGTCGTGTCTTTATACTAAAAGTACTATTTCAGAAGATGCACATGAAATGTAATGGCCAATATGAAATTGCAAGAAGTTCTTGCATGCATTCATTTATAATGCTCTATATCTAAAAGTTGGTGTCAACAATAAACATTGGCCAGCCAGATATTACTTGCTGCAAAGTTGAAAAGGGACTTCAAGAATTAAATGAAACTTACATTTCTTTTATTAAAATAATAACTCCTTGGCCACTTTATCTACTAGATAAAGGTGACAAAGAGCACCAACATTTCCTAAGCTTAGGCATGTTCAAATCAGGAGTTCAGAGATGGAACTGATAAATTATGTATATCCATACCACAGGTTTCTGCAATTTGTATTTGCTTTGATGAGTAATTATTTGTTTTGATACAACTGTACAAAATCCTAATATAATGCTGTACCGAAGCAATATATCTTGTGCAGTCTTCCAATTTTTAATCTAGAAAAATATGTACCGTATATTCCGGCGTATAAGACGACTGGGCGTATAAGACGACCCCCAACTTTTCCAGTTAAAATATAAAGTTTGGGCTATACTCGCCGTATAAGACTACCCCTCTTTCAACGCACACCAAATAAAAATTAAAAAACATCAGATTTGATTTCAATATGGTAATTTTAATTCAAATGCTTATGACATAAAGGTACTTAGCAGGAAAACTGTCACTTATAAACATAAGGCTGTTTGTCATCAAACATGTAAACATAAAACAGTGCAAGTGATTAAACTTTTCCTAATTCACTCTAAAGCTGAAAGGAAGGATAAGACAATAAACCCATGGGAGCTGCCATGCTATTTGTTTTCTAAGCTGTCAACCAAACTGGAACTGATGATGATAGGAGGAAGATAACAAACAATAGAGAGAGCAAGTGCCAGGCAAGTCCCTGGCGAGTCAGCAACGCCCATCATAACTGCAAGCTATTTTTATAGGTTTTGTTGGCATGATACTTTCCCTTTAAAAGCCTTTAAAATCATCCTGTTCATCATCTGATATCATAAAAATATCAATGACATCTTGTGATACATTTGCAAGGCAGTCATCGTATGGATCGAATTCCGTATCAGATGGTGTGGTCTCAGCTTCGGCTTCCTCTTCATCTTGCCACAAGTAGTCGTCCTCCATACCATCTAATGAATTTGATATGCCACACTTCTTGAAAGACTTGATTATTGTTTCTGCATCAATATCATTCCAGGCTTTTATGACAAACTTGCACAAAACATCCAATTGTGGAGCACGCATGTTTCCTCCTTTTGTGAATGACTTTTCGCCACTAACCATCCATTCATTCCACTGTTCTCGAATGCGATCTTTAAATGGCTTGTTTAGGCATACATCCAGTGGCTGTACTAACGATGTTAATCCTGCAGGAATAACTGCCGCATCTGTGTTTAGTCTTGCAAGCTTTTGCTTGGTGCTGGGAGTTAAATGAGCCCTGAACATATCCCACACCAGTAGACTACGTTTTTGAATAAGTCCACCTGGTCGCCTGCTCCATACATTATCAAGCCATAGCTTTACCCCTTCTTCATCCATCCAGCCTTTTTCATTCACATGTACAAAACAACCAACAGGGAACTTGAGTTTTGGCATTGTTTTTCTTTTAAAAATAATCATTGGTCTCAGTTTGGCACCATCAGCTGTGCATGCTAGTACCACTGTAAAACTGGACTTCTCATGTCCTGTTGTTTTAATTAAAATTGTTTTTTCACCTTTTTGATGGACAGTTTTATTTCCAACCATATCAAAATTCATTGGAGTTTCATCCATATTTCCAATACTACTTAATGCATAGCCATGTTTAATGCGCTGTTGTATTATGTATTGATGGAAACTAATTACTTTGCTATCAAGATCTGCAGGTAATTTTTGTGCAATTTTCGTCTTTTGCCTCAGTACCATATTATGCCTTTCCAAGAATCTAGTACACCAGGATGCAGTGGCCTTAAATCTGTTGCTGTGATCTGGGTTAGATTTGGCCCACTGAAGTGCAAACAAACGTATTTTATTTCGTGTCACTACATAACCGTTTTGGCGATGCTCATTCACCATGTCTGCTACATGTTTTTCAAGTTCTGGCCAATGTGGGGTGCCTCTTCTTAATGCACACTTACCCCTTGGCATACTCTTTAATGCTTTTTCATTTGCTTTCCAGTCCCGAACCATCTTTTCTGTTACTCCATATTGTCTTGCAGCAGCGCAGTTATTATGTTCCATGGCAAAGTTTACAACTTTAAGTTTGAAACTGGCTTCATATTTCTTTCTTCTTGCTGGTGGAGCCATGATGGGGTCTTGACTATTGGACATTTGTATACTGTACTGTACGTATTGGTGCTGTACTGTATGAACTGGTACAGATACTGGTGCTGTACTGTATGTACCCAGTATACAACAACCAGCCAATCACAGCAAGTGATGAACCTTGGCTGGTTGTTGTATACAAAGCCTGCTTGGATTGGGTGGGTCAGCTCTCCCTGCCTGCCCAACCCTTCCTGTCATCTTATAGGCCAGGGGTAGGCAACCTTGGCTCTTTTATGACTCATGGACTTCAACTTCCAGAATTCCTGAGCCAGCTATGCTGGCTCAGGAATTCTGGGAGTTGAAGTCCATGAGTCATAAAAGAGCCAAGGTTGCCTACTCCTGTATAGGCCCTAGGGAAAAAATGGACAAGCTAATTCCATGAGGGAGGGGGAAAGGGAGCACAGTTTCTGAGTTCTCATTGGCCACCTGTAAGTCCAAATGAGTAGCTCAGGGTGTGTGCGTGCACATGTAGGCATGCGTGTGACTCCCTGGGTCCCTTCCATTGCCCTCCCCCCAGTAGCAAGCTTTGGCTTGGAGCAAGCAGGCTGCACACAGGGATCTCCTCCTCTCAGTCTTCCACCCTGCGAATCCTCCACAGCCTCTCCAAGCTGAGTGAGCAGAAAGCCTGCCTGTTTGTCAAAGGCTCTGCCTTGTCAATCGCACACACACCTTGATGAAAATTGCCCTGCCTGCAAAAGGACTTCTCAGCAGTTTTTTAAAGCAACACTACCAAGAATGAAATTGGAGACAGCCAGAATGTTTAGGGAAGAAGGAAAGGAAGCAGTTAATAAACTAAGTAAGAAAGGCATTCGCCCTTCGAAAACTTGCATTTCCATAAATGTGATAAGTTGCCCCCTTTTCAGGTAATGGGGGGGGGAGTAAATGCTTTCCTTTTAATTTGTTATTAAAACTCAGTGCACTACAGTACTTATAGATGGGAGCCAGATTGACCAGCCAGGATCTGTCATAAATAACACCACAAATGCACCATGCAAGTTTATTTAGGCGGGGGGGGGGGGGAGAAACTGCTTGCATAAGCTCGGGCAAAAGGATTGTGTAGCTGTTTTCTGTCCCCACTCCATTCCTGCTTCTTAACTCCGAGAGGAATTTAGCTGACACCCCTCCCCTTCCAGACCCATAAGCTCCGCCTCCCCCAAGCTACTCTCACCGGCAGTGAGAGGTAAACGCTGAAAAGCTTGCATGAAGAAGCACTGAGAAGTGCCTCGAATGGACGCAGATGCTTAGGTTTGTTTTCATTATATAAAAAAACCACCCTACAATTCTTTTCCCCCCTTCCCCATTACATGGGCCATCCCTTTCTACTTCCTTTGAATGAATTAATCAGGGGATGGCCACTACCAGTCCGCAGTTCTGGAGGGGTGGGCAAGGAATTGGGATGCAAAAGGGAGGGAAGAAGAGAGGAGACGGTTTGCAATGTAGCATTATAGAATGGGGATTAAACCTCCAGGAAATCTTACCATCACAACAGCCAGATAATGCCTATCGTACTCTCAGAGATATCTTTAGTTGATCGGCTGGTTTTAATAATAACCCTAGGACTCTTTTTGAGTGAGAGAGAGGGGGGGGAAGAGAAAACTTGCTGAGTAATATTTTTCCAGCGTATAAGACGACCCCCCACTTTTGCGAAGATTTTAAGTGTTTAGAAAGTCGTCTTATATGCCGGAATATATGGTAGATAGAAGTGTCCTAAATTTATGCAGTACCATGTGCATTCAAAAGACACTAATGTATCTAAGAAAAGTGAAGGAAGCTGAGTAATTTTTCAAAAAAAAATACTACTGTAAACAGTCATTTACTATATGAAGAAATATGTTTAATTATGACTGTTCAATAGATTTGAGCATTACTTGCTATTTACCTACCAAAAGAGAAGGGGCTAGGGATGTAGTGAATCACTGTCACCAATGCTCTCCTGGTTAATGAATTATGAAATGCCAGGTACTTCCTGAAGAAAGTGGGTGGGACTTTGTAAGGATATGTAAAATCATTCCAAATATGAACCTCCATGAAATTGCTGTTTCAGGCACTTAAATTTAAGAAAACTCAAACCACTTCCTAAGTGCAGAAAGCAGCTTCTTTCATACTTGGAACAGCTTTTTCTGCATTCAAACTGCAAAATCTTGTGAAGTTTCACAATAATTTGAATTCCATAGATGCTGATTCTTGACCCTGTTAATGTGAAATGATAGAAAATATTTGTAGCTTGGGTGGTAGATGCTAGTGGTGGTTTGTTCTCTGAGCCTGCTGTTTAGCTTCCAAACATTTTGTCGCCAAGAAGATGACATACTCAGCAGGGCTTTGGTTGAAGCCTCTTGTTTCAGTTCTTCACTGCTTTATATTGACCTCATATGGTCAAGTGGTTGGTGGGTCAGGTGACTGGTTGGTCATGTTGCATGCCATGCCATGTGACTGGCTGGTCATTATGTGTGAAGGTCACCAAGTGAAAAAGTGGTCGATACTGGGATTGGTTGGTCACTCAATTGACACTGCTTCTTATGGGTTCGTAGGCTGGCTCCAAGTTGACATGTTTGTTGATAGATCAATTGGTTAAATACCAGGCTTTGATGAATTCTCATGCATGGCATGTGGTGGATGGAACAAAAATCATTGGCCATGCCACCATATGCCACACAAGTGAATTCATCAAAGCCTGGTATTCAACCAACAGATCTATCAACAAACATGTTGAATATGAACCCATAAAGAGCCATATCAATCGAGCCGGGCATACGGCCTTCCAACCACATGACATGAGATCAATAAAAGCAGAGAACTGAAATAAGACATTGCAACTGAAGCCCCACTGAGGATGACATCTAGCCTGGTAACAAAATGTTCGAAAGCTAAACAGCAAGCTTGCAAAAAAAAACCACCACCAGCACCTATTAATGTGATTGTATTGAAGCAGAATTGCTAGTAAACAGTAGAATAGATTACTAACCAAGTGGACTAAATGTAACTAGGTTACTGTCATAAGAAAAAAAACTCTCAAAGGGGAGCAAACGGATTTAAATTTACTTAATGGTAAAGGAATGCTAACTTGGTTGGCACAGAAAAGTGGAGATAGAAACCTGGAAGATGGGATGGATTAAACTGTCTGGAATTCTAAAAACAGGAATTTCACATTGCAAAATATTGTCACTAATCTTAACTAGCAACACTCTGTATTTGAACTGATTGTCTAAAGCTGTAGGCTTATGTAAAAGTTCTGAAAATGACTTCAACAGTGCAGTTTCATAGAATTTTTTTGTTCATAAAAGAAGGAAAAAAAATCTGTTTTAAATATATTACTTTGCTTATTTTTTAAATAAATAAATATATTACCTGCCTCCTTTTCAGTATCTGACTCTGAAACTTCATCTTCTTCTGCTTCTTCCTCTTCCTCAGAGCTGGAACTACTAGATTCCTTGCTCTCTTCTTCTGTCTCTTTCAAAGTATCCGCTTCATAAATAATCTCTTTGCTGAGGTAAAAACCAAGAAAAGTATTTAGGGAAGCAAACAAAAAAAAAAATCAAAGTAACTAAACAGGTTAAAAAACTGAAAATGTAAGACTGCCACACATGAAATCATTTCTGCAGAAAAGTAGAGTGATTAACTAATTCTCTTTATTAAAATTCATGCTCCCATTTCAGTATCACAAATTTATAGCTTTAATGAATATAATGGGACAGAAAGAGAAAGCTACTTGAAGGGAAAATATATTTTTTTAAAAAGAAATTGGCCAGTTTCTTTAGAATCGCATCGGCATAATACTGAAATTCAATAGCACAGATTATGAGTAGTTTTAGCCCTGGAGCAGAGTACTTTTTGATAAAACAGCATTAAAAATTAAGCACAGCTTGAAACAAAAAAATTCTGTTTAAGCACTTGAGCTTTAGAAACTCAAATTAAATTATACTAATTTATAAATTTTATATTCTACTACTTTTCAAGGAAGTCAAGACATCACATATGGGAATTCCCTCTTACTTTATTCTTCTTAAGAACTACTTGGTATAATAGACTGAGCTAAGAAATAATGACTGACCCAACCCACTTAGTAAGATCCACATCTGGATGGGGAACTGACTCAAGTTTCTTGGATTCTAGTCTTATATTTCAACTTCTAGTGCTTGCTTCCTCCACTCCATTAATTTAACATCAAATTTCACAATAAACACAAAAACATTTTGGATAAAGAATCTTACTTTTTGAAAAGTCCACTTTGAACTTTACCATTCATATCAGCTTCAATTAATTTGTTTGATTCTTCACTACGGAGCTGTCAAAAATGTAATTGGAAAAATATGTCAACAAGCTGTTTCTGTTCTGTCTAGCATGTCAGCATAGGCAAATGGCAGAATTGCAACTCTTTTAAGCACTTCATTTTGTTTAAGGTAAGGAGAATTTATTATGATAAATATATAAAACTGAGATACATATATGAAACAACCATACTGAGTCACTCACTAAATTTTTCACAACAAAAACATCAAGGCATTTTTAGTCCAACCCCATTATCTCATAATAATCTGCTTTTGAAATATGAAACCAAAGCATCAATATTCTCCAAAGCACCTGAAGGTAGAATATTCTCCAAAGCACCAAGATAGGACAAGAAGCAATGGATGGAAACTAATCAAGGAGAGAACCAACTTAGAACTAAGGAAAAATTCCCAACAGAAAAATTAATCAGTGGAATGACTTGCCTCCAGAAGTTGTGGGTGCTCCAACACTGGAGGTTTTTAAGAAGAGATTGGACAAGTATTGGTCTGAAATGGTATAGAGTTTCCTGCTTGAAGAAGCAGGGGTTGGATGAAAAAAACCTCCGAAGTTTCTAACTCTGTTATTCTTTTATTCTGTTAAACTGGAATAAGTCAAAAGTTTAAACTCACTGAAGCTGTTAGGTTCTAAAATATGCTAACATGTATTTACACACATACATAATTAAATTCAGGAGACCAATCAGTAAGCAAAATTAAATGTTTCTTGAATGGTAGGGTTGGCTTCCTGGTCTAGCTAAAGGAAAGAACTGAGGAAAGAAAAAAGAAGCTGACTGGCCAAATGAGGAACCTACATAAGTCATAGACTATCTGTACCACCTCTATGATTTCTCCTGATTTCTTTTCAACCTACAAACCTTACACTTTAAGCCTCAAGGCAGAATTAGCTTTCAATATTTTGCATCTGAACATAAGTACATAAATATAAGTATAGCATAAACTGGAACTGAACCAGTCTCTAAAGGGCTGTTTTTTTGTTTTTTTAAATAATTTATGAAATGGGGAGATAACCCACATTCCCTAGGAAAAATAGACAATCTTAGGAAAACAAACTAATAGAAAAAATGGATACAGATACCACTGCTAAGTTTTTTTAAAATCTCTCAGAAAACTAGGCAACATGGAATGGACTGTTTATCCAGTTAACAACTTTAAGTTATGTGGACTTGAATTCCCAGAATTCACAACATATTGGCTGGGAAGTTTGGGAGTTGATATCCACATATCTTAAATTGCTAAAAGCTGAGAAACACTGATGTAGGGAATTTTAATTGTTTTTGAAATAGCTAAACATGGCTTTTCTTTACTTTCAATTCTTCAGTTACTTCTTCCTCTCCCCTCATTTCCCTCTAGTACTGTCCCCCACATTCTGTTTCATAGCTTTTCCTATAAATCTATACTTTTCTCTTGCCCCATTGCCATCCTGTTTCTCCCCTCTTTTTTTTTGCTGAGAGGAGAAATGCAAATAGTGTATTTCTCTGTATGAATATGGTTTCTGTGAGAGACTGTGAATGACTCTGAATGAACAGATAACAGAAACAATTTTATAATCTTAGGTAACAGACATCAGTTTTAATCAATAGATATTAATTTGTAATACATATTTCTCCTGACCTTGCCATTTGCAGAAGTATGGTATTTGGCAAACGTATATGTATAAATCTGGTATGTGTGTTATATATGTATATCACCCACATATATTATACACATTCATATATTTACATGTAAATGGCAACATTTTCAGAACTGGTATAAACTAGTTGCAATGTAAGGAAAATGAACACTACACACATATGTTTCTCTCTCTCTCTCTCTCTCAGGCCATTTTAAATTCACATTCATCATCTTTTAGAGCAACCATGAAAAGATATTCAAATGCTGTGATGGGTCTATTCCTTATGACTCCCCATGGAAATGAAAAGTGGCCTTCAAAGAGGTGGGATAGGAAAAATACTGAGGCTTTTAAGTGTGGTGTCAGAGAAGACTCCTGGGAATACTATAGACAGCCAAGAAAACAAACAAATGGATCATTGAACAAATCAAGTCAGAATTATCACTTGAGAACAAATGGCCAGGCTCAGATTATCCTACCTGTAACATACTAGGTGGAAAGCTAGCTCCCTAGAGAGAAGGCTCTAATGCTAGGAAAGATGGAAGGAATGAAAAGAGGATGACTAACAGCAAAGTGGATGGACTCAGTAACGGTGGTGATGAGTGCACTATTGAAAGATCTGAAGGTTAGGGACAGATTGCACTGGAAAATATCTATCTTTTTGGTCACTAATGTTTTGGTGGCACATAATCAGTCAAAAAGTAATTTTATCTATGTTATTTTACTATTTATAAGCCACTTCAGTCAACACTTATGCTTCATATGTAACTATCACAAAACACACATTTCGTTGCATTCCACTATCTAAGAAATCATAAGAATAATATGCACAAAAATTCTTTGATTAAGAGGGGTACTCAGAACCTACCATATTTTGTTTCTTCTGCAACATCTCTAAGTGTTCAACCAATCCCTCATCAGCAACATCGAATGGTGTTTGACCCTAAAGGCATGTATAACAATAGCAAACATTTATTCTGGACTTAGCATTTCTTTAACATGAGAAAAAGATTATTTATGTCTTTGTGAAAAACAAATTTAAAAATATGCAAAACTACTTGGCAAGAATTGGAAAAAAATTCTAAAAATATACTTCTTCTTGAGGGATGGGATTATTATACAGATGGCATGCATATTTAATTTATAATAAAAAAGTAGATCAGGTTTTTAAATCTCATATTTTAAGAAACGCTTTATTACGTGTCTGGAAGAAGTATTATTATAAGTTAAATTATAAAATTCCAATTTGGGGGATTCCCGGACATGTGATAGAGGGGGTATCTAGAGGAGTGAATTTGGATAGGATTTCTTATAAGGAATTACTTAGTTTGGTAGGGAAGGGTTGGCAATTAAAATCTTTAGCTGAGTTGAAGCAAGAAAATATTGTACACTCTTGGTTTCAAGATAATCAGTTGTTAGTTAGGTGGAGTTTAGATCAAAAGGTTGGTATTACTTTAGAGGATGCGAATTTGGTAAAACAGATTAAAGATCAAACTCGAGCCCATATAAAGAGAATTTATAATGTCTTAATAGAATTGGATTCTGAAACGGAGTTAAGTAAAGATTGTATGGTAAAATGGGCACAAAATATTCAAGAGCCGATTCTATTGGACACATGGGAGACAATTTGGGTTAGAAATGTAAAATTTACTCAAGCCTCAAAATTTGAGAGAAATTTTTTATAAAATGTTTTATAGGTGGCATTTGGATCCCCAAAAGTTGTCTTGTATGTGTCCCAACTTGCAGCCCAAATGTTGGAGATGTGGTAGATTGGATGCAACTTACTTTCATATTTGGTGGACTTGTAGAAATATAAAAGCTTTTTGGATTAAAATTTGGTGGAACATTCAAAATATTTTTAAAAGAAAGATAAAGTTTACTCCTCAACTATTTTTGTTGGGTATTATTGTAGATTTTGATGTTAAGGAAACTAATTTGATGTTGAATTTAATAACAGCAGCAAGGTTGTTGGTAGGGCAATATTGGAAGAAGGATTGTTTGCCTACTATAGAAGAATGGACGCTTAAAGTCTCAAATTTAGCAGAAATGGCTAAGATTTCTGCTTATTTGAAGGATCATTCACAAGAAAGATACATTTCGGTTTGGAGAAGATGGATAGATTATATTCAGAATATGGGACTAAAAAGTTCCATTTGTTTTATGAATAAATTTTAGAATATTATTATTGTTATTATTATTATTAATAGTTTAGTATAGTGGAATTTTTATTATATTGTATTGTTTATGAATTAGGATTTTAATTTGTTTATATGATTAAGTTTATTTGCAAATTGTTTATTCTGTGTTAAAAGGGAGTTAAAGCGCATTATATTTGTTTATTTACATAGCTGGTTAATGTTAGTTAGATTATGATTATTATATTTGTTACCCTGTATTCAGCTTTGGGAAGTGAGGGAGGGGGTAGGGGAGGTAGGGGGGTGGGTTTGGGGTATGTTTTGTAATTTTTGTAAAACTTTTTAATAAAAAAAAAAGAATTGGAAAAAATTTCAAGGTAACTATTTTTCTTAGAAATGCTTTCCGTGTATTTTAACTTGTACTCATTGCCAAATTAGCTTATACCTGTATTTTAGTAAGCATTTTTCATCATATAGCCAGATAAAAGTATGGAGCTATATGGAAATATATGGCTATTAGACATATTGGGATGTCAAAATATCAGATACTGTTACCACAAATAAAAACATGCTATAGCAGTAGTATCAAAATTATATGTTGTATCAGATGAATTAGAGCAGATACAATATTCCTAGTCCATTTCCAGTCATTCCTCTTTCTGTGAAAATTTCTCCATGTTAGTCCATGGTTAAAGATTATGCCAGTGCTAATCTTAATATTAAATGGATAACCCATGACCCATTGCGTCATTATTTCAGAGATATTTCCTTACCTAAACAAAGAAACAGAATGAAGTGGGCAAAAAAGCATTGGGAGAGACAGTGACTTCCTGCCAGCTTTCCTTGTAGGAAGCTGGCAGGGTGCATTGGAAATCCTAATCACGTGACTTCAGCTGACTGAGGCAGCATAGCAGCATAGTAGCACTGACTAACTTTGCCAAATTTCAATCTTATTGAAGACATGGGTCCCAGATTTTGGATGCATTCTCTAAATCAGCCCACCTGAGATATGCCTATTATCATATAATGTACCATTTTGCCCAATTGCGGGTTACAAACCATTAAATACATAAGAGTTTTAGCAGTATACTGGACAATCCATTACTCATTAGGTCATCCTTTTGGAGATATTTCCTTACCTAAACAGAGAAACAGAATGGCCACGGAGGATTGCTATTGTTTGGGTTTTAAAATTAAAGAAGAAAATATTTTTTTATTAAAGAACAAAGAATAGCAAGACAATCGATTTATCATTGCTACTTTAATTGAGGAGTTCGTAAGGCAGAGGATACCAATTATCTATCCTGACCTTCCCCTACATACAGCTGAAACTGGCAGTTTCTCCAAGGAATGACAGTGACAGACTTTGGCCACGGCGCCAATATCAACAAAAATATTACATTGAGCAAGTCATGCATTTTGCCTCACTCTTTCTCTGTTGAGGTGCTTGTTGTTGAAGGCAGGTATTGTCATGTTGATAAACTTTTGCAGTAATTAGTGCTTGTCACACACTAAGTTGATCTTCCCTTTCCTCCTCCATCTTTTCTTGCTTCCTTATTCTGCACTTTTATAATTCTGGAGATGTGCAGCCTTTTCATCCTCAGTTTCTTGACCTCTCTCTTCCTTGCTGCATCTCGATATTTGGAGTCATCTCTTGACTATGACATCACCACCACTTTTTTTTTTTTTTTAACCAGTGGTACACCGCATGTTTGTGTGCCAGAGAAGGGGCACATAAAGCACTAAAAATATCCAGCCCCTTCATGCACCTTAAACTTGTTTTTTTTTTCTTTAAGAGTCAACCAATGAGTCAATTCATTGCTGCTGGGTGAGGAAGGGAGGGATTGCAAGATTGGCTGGAAAACAGTCATGGAATTTTGGAAATGTAAATCACACAAATTACCCCATTTGAGGTATCCTGGTTCAAAAATTGTTGCCCTATGATGCATCATTTTGTCCAGGTAAAGATCATCACAACTAAAGTTTCAGTAGTCTACGGATTAGTATATCACTAACTGATTTTTCTTTTCATAAAAATGTATAAACCGACTCTGAAATTCTCATTAGCTACAACTCGTCACAATGAAAACAGATAAAATATAGAAGCAGATGACAACCTATTGTGTGCATTTATGTCCTAGAGAATAGGAAATAAAGCTCCCAAGTAACAAAGGAAAATTACTGAATTCCATATTTTCTTCGTCAACCAGACTACCCACAAGTGTTTAAAAAACACAAATCAGAACTTTTCAGAGAACTGATGGGCCCAGTCCAGAAGCATTTATATTGTCAGATAAATTAGTTGGTTTCAAATCTGTTTGGGTACTTCTCATGATGTTTTCTATGTACACTAGCTTCAATTCACTTATGCAATTATAAAGAAGTCTCCATGAGGTCTCCTTTTAACCTCCAACTACTTATTTTTGAATCCATGTGCTGTGATTGTCTTGTGTTTTGGAGATCTTTTTTTAAAAAAAAACCTTGCAATTTGTCATTTAATTCAGGATCATTCAGGGAGGGATTCTTTATTCTTTTTTTTTTAAGATAGGGCTGTCCTGCTACATTCTCTTGTATTTGTATCTACCTTACCAAGTTCTTTCTGTCCTTCAGTTGAAACATTTTGCTATCTCATTCGTTCAAATACAGCATCTTGCATTTCTAGAAAGAACTTCAAGTTATTAGTGAAGGACCTATTGAATTCTGGTCTTGATACCATACCAGGCATATATACACCATACATTCTTCAACTGCCAACTGAAGCTGTTGTCTTGCAGGAAAGTGCAGCATCTTTATGAATCACTGGTTTCAGGACTATTAGCAGGAAATCTAGATGTTGTGCTAAAATTAACTTAAAGTTGGATTCAAACATGATCATCGTTATCATGCTTTCTGGTTAAGTTTTGCTTGTCTCCTTTTCACTATTTCCATATATATATATATATATCCTTAATGGTTATAAAAATACGAATCCCGGGCATATTTGTTCAATGATGCAATCTTCGATCTCCGGGAAGAGTATACTCCAGTTATTTATTGTTAAAACAACATTTAAAACAATAAAAACAGTTATATACAAGATTAAAACAACTTAGCTTTCGCTGGTCCTCTGCCAGCATCCTCAGAGTGGGGCTTAGGGGGTGGGAAAGTTCTTTTTATCCCCTTGCTGATCCAATTGCCTACAATGAGGGCAATGAGTAGGCAATTGGATCAGCAAGGGGATAAAAAGAACTTTCCCACCCCCTAAGCCCCACTCTGAGAACGCTGGCAGAGGACCAGCGAAAGCTAAGTTGTTTTAATCTTGTATATAACTGTTTTTATTGTTTTAAATGTTGTTTTAACAATAAATAACTGGAGTATACTCTTCCCGGAGATCGAAGATTGCATCATTGAATATATATATATATATATATATATATATATATATATATATATATATATATACACACACACACACACACACACACATATACATATACATATACATATATATATATATATATGCATGCCTGATTTTCCTATATATTATATTTATAACAAAATTGATTTTGCCCCAAGAACCTTAACAGTTTACCTATCATTTTCTCCTATATAGTTTTGGATCCTTTCTCATGTTTTCTTCCCCAAAATGGGAAGAATAACAAAAAGAAATTTTATAATACTCATTTTATAAAAGACAAAAAAAGAATGAATGTTTTTATTTATGCTGTTGGCCCTGAAGCTATTAAGTGAACTATTACAGTAAACCCATTGCCATAGTCAGATTAAATTTACAATTTAAAAATAAACAAAACAGAAGAAAATAGTATTATAAACAGCATAAAGAATACATTTTTACCTGATACAGAGCATAAAATGTATATAATGCAATCCATTTAATTGTTGAGTAATGCTGAACCACCGATAATAACATACATCAATTTTAAAGCTTGTTTAGCTGACAAAGAAACATAGTCAACATTTCTTTAAAAAAATATCCTTCCTCTTTGGGAGCATTTATGGTATATTGCTAGTCTAAGACTCACTAACCAGCTTGTTCCTGATGTCCATATCACAGAGTGCTTCAGCCAAAATAGTGCAAGCTTCTTTCACCCCCCAGTGTGCAGCAGCATGGAGTGGTGTCCATCCATCATTGTCCTGAATATTTACATTAAACCCAGCTTGTATCAAGAGTCTAAGGAAAAAATAGCAAAGATGGCAGCAATTCAGTCTTGTAAGTTAGTAAACACTGTAAGCAGCATGCAGTGGCTTTGTGAATGAAGCTTATCCTATGACAGAGATCAGTGTGATCAAGTAGACAGCTCTAAATGGTAAAAAAGAAGTCAAGTTTAAGATAAAGGATAAAATAGCTTCTTCCTAACAATGATGGTAATTAATGATTGACCTTAGAGATGGAATTGAAGAATTTGAGAAAAAGAGAGTTCAAACAGATTTTTAGGAAATGCCTTAGACAAGCAGAAGCAAATCTCAGAACCAGCCAAAGCTGAAGCAGAGGCATTATCTTGTGGATTAACTTCTGCACAATGACATTTAAAATTATCATAAATTAATCTTATGACAAAATTATTTAGCCCACCATGGTCTAATTTAATTGCTTCAGCACAAACATATTCAGAAGTCATCTCCAGTCATGTCTGAAATTAAAGCTAAGACTTGCAAATGTTTTATCTCTAGTTGTTGTTTCTTCTGGATGGAGTCTTTCTTAGCATAACCTGGGAATGAGTCAGAAGCAGTTTAGGATTTCATGGCCACCATTACAACCATGGGTCTAAAATCAATCCAGATTATAACAGGCCAGATTCATATATTCTGCATCTCTTGAACTCAGAGCCAATGAGGTTCTGAAAGCAGAAGGTATTACAGAATGATCAGATAATTTTCGTGTAATCATGATTTGTTAGCCCCACCAAATTCTTCAGGAGCCATTAAAATGGCCCACTTGGCTTTCAGAGGGTGCTTAGGAAATGAACAGACAATTTAACAAACAATTTTATTGAGTACCTAACTAACTAATGCAATATAGGTGTGATGAAGGCACTAGATGGGATAGTTCTCAAGTGATCTCCTCCTGTCTGCTGATCCAGGAGCATTGGATCTGGGAGAAAAGTCAAAAGAAGGGCATATAAAATAGTGCTGCAGAAAATAAATAACAAAATTGGCCATTGTATATAGTAAGTTCATATCTGAGTCTAAACTGTGATGATAAGTGTTAAGAAAAAGTTGGTACTTCTTGGCATCTATTGTATAAGTGGAATGTCATCCAGCCACAATGTCACTTTTGGATACAATTGGGCCCAAGGAGCTTAGTATTGGCCGCTAAGACTTCTCTAAGCACTTTATTAATAGTATCATTACAGCTTATTTTGTAATTACAATGCTGGCTGGCTAGCTGGCTGGCTGGACTCTGAAGAGATGGCATCTTGTGATAACATGTGAGATTTTATCACTGGGAACTTGATAAAATGAACAACATCCTTTGTGAGTGATCTAGGTCCATATATACTAATATGCCATGGAGGGAGTACTATTAGGTTGAAGTAGTGAATGTCTTTGGTGTGAAGAGAATGATAATACTATCAATCCTGTCAGACCCCACGAACCAAGAATGACACATGGAGTTACTTAAGAGTAGTTTCCTTTATTGTTCTTCACCTATAGACAGGATCTTTCCAGCCTAAAGCTACTATTTTCATAAATACAGATATACCCTGGGAATAGCTAGGGAGGAGTCATTTTAACTCTCTTCATGGCAAATAAAGCTCTTCCATTCCTTTGCCCTCTTGAAAGCAGCCCCACTCTCCTGGGAATCCAGACTACATTCCACCACAAATCATCCTAGGTAGCCTGCAAGCGGTGGAGAGTAGGAGGCACTGTTTTGAAGTTGTAGAGTTTAAACTAGCACAAATGTAAAGTTTAAACTAGCTACTTTATTACTCTATGCCAAGTTCATAGGAATCTTCCCAGATTGGCAGATATATCTGGGAAAGACTAGATAAGGCTCAAAGGCTGTCTTGTGTTTATGTAACAAGTCAATGGTAATTCCCCATTGAATACCCCCTCCCGCCTGGGACAGTTGTTCTCCAGCACTGACAGATGGAAGGATTAGACAAGTTACTGCAACATTCTGTTTCAAGTGACAGTTAATGTTACTTTTTTACTATACCACAAAAGGAACCTATATACATATATTACTGAACTTAATATATGGTGCAGGACACATATACAATTATAGCATTGCTTCAACTGGAGGTCAGTTCCAAATCAATACTCCATAAATCAAGTCATAACTGTTATCCCATTAGTTTCTAAGAATCTAAAATTAAGTAATTCAGCCTAAGAGGAATTGTTGTAAAAAACTAGAACTCAGCACCCTTCCATATCACTACAAAATCTCTTAGAAGACAAAATAAAAATAATAAATTTCAGAGATTCCAGGATCTCTTAATACTGATATCTCTGAAAACTCAAAGGAATCATTCTAGGTCTAGGAAATGTTCAAATGTAAAACGTAAGACATTTCTTGAATGGAAGTAATAAAGGAATAAAAAAAATAAGGAATAAAAATGTATTACTGTAAAGTGGTTTACACAGCATTGGAAAATACAGAAAGCTTTCAAAACTGAGATCAAAAAGTTCTGCTTCCCCAAAAATGAGCACTTAATTAACAAAGGAAATGTGTTCTTCAGTAAAGTTTTTCAAAAGCTGATGCTTCCAATATTATAATTCTGGTTTTCAGTATGTGACAGTAGCAAAAAAGCAGGCAGATATTACGCGCAAGTTAACTGATATTTTCTCTGAAGTTAATAAAACAAGCAAATCTTATTCCTACATAGCAAAAAATCACTGTAGTGTGTGGGTAAGCCTCTATCCTAAAAGTAGAACCCTAATTTGTATTTACTAAGTTTGATGTAGCTATTTATGCCATCTAAAAAGAGAGACAGGCAACTGTTCACCATTCCTGTATTGTATTTGAATATCTGTCTACTGTAAATTTTTACCTTGGTTATGACCAATACATAAAAAAAAGAAATATCATCTGAAAAAAAGATGTCAAAGTTAACTTCATAAAATCAGGAAAATAAACAAGTGAAACTTGGTGCCTATTTCATTCTTATAAAGCAGGGCATAAATTGAGGGCATATATCAGTCCAGTATCTGATTTTTTTATTATAAAAGATACTGTGTTTCAGTGGTTAAATGGCCTAGACATTGGTATTTGAACATAGATCCTTTTAACATTTATATTTTATTGTGCTTTACTAATCTAGGTGAAATGTTAATATATATTGCCAATCTATATAGGATATGTCTACACCTAAATAAATAGGGAAGGGTAGCCCATGCCACAAACAACATCATTATTTCCACTCGCCTTGGAGAAACCAAGGCAGGAGGTGGAAAATGCCAATCATAAATTGTATTTATTAATCAAATTTATATAGCCGCCCATTTCACAGCAGAAAACAATCCAGTAGAACAAGAGAAATACTGTATAGAACAGTCTTTATCTAAAGCCATTATCTAATAATTATTAAAAACATTTAAAAGTATAGAAGCAAAACTAAAACAGAACAATAACAGGTGGAGGAGCACTAGGGGTGCCACTCCACTAATTCATAACAATCTTATAAAATTCTAACACAATGACTGGGTTTGACTATTTTGCTAATGTTTAACTAAATTTCCCATAGTTTCTGCCTGCTTCACTAGGCCCAGAAAGGAAGAGATGCTCTGGGTTTCTTTCATCAATTAATGTATTATGGTAGCTTCTCTGTACCTGCTCTGTACAACAGCATCTCTCTGGAATTCTACTCCTGTAAGCCTTTTGGAAGGCTCTGAAAAGCTGGTCATTTCCCCAGGCATCTGGGCCAGGATTTGGTTATATGAACTCTGCTGGTGAGGTGGTTTTTAATGATTTGTGTTCTTAGGCTTGGATGTCAATATTTTAAATCTTGAATCCTACCCAGAGTCACTGATATGAGATGGGCAACCATATAAATCGTATCAGTAACTGACAAAATAAGCTAAAGTCTAACCAACTACATTACGGCTTACAGTGTATTTGAACCCAGCCATGTAACTCTTTTTGGTTGCAGTTATTCCCATAGTTTAGTATAGCAAACAATAAAAAGAGATCAGTACCTCATCACCTCACAGTAGTCTTTAGCTGCAGCTACGTGGAGAGCAGTAGCACCTGTTCGAGGGTGCTTTCTCTCTTCAATTTTCCTTCTATTTAGCCACTGTCGGGCATCTTGCAACATTTGTTGTTCTTCTGCTTTTCTGGCCTGATCAAGATCCACTCCTGGAGAAACAGACTGCAGGTGTAAAAACACTTCGAGGTAGAACAAAAAATGATATAAAACAGAAGGGGAGATAAATATCCACATTATTACAATGGGAGCAAAATTAAGATTTTTTTGACTACATATTTTTAAAAACATTTTGTTTGCTCTTAGGGGTATAGCTATTTATAATTCTACTTGAATAATATCTGATGCTTTCAAGTCATTCTGAAGAAGAACTGGCACAATTGCTAGTTTGTATGGCCAATGTTTATTCCTCATCATCGACAAAATATCGAGGTGTTTGTGCATGGAATATTTGCAGAAAGTTATAATCGATGATAGAAAAGCCAGTTTCCATTTCATGGGGTGAAATAAATCTACTAACATTCCCATCTTCAGAGCATACTGATTTCCTTATTGAGAAACTTAGATACATTATTAACACACTGAAAATGAAAAAAAAAACATACTAGTCAAAACTATCGATTTCAGCATTTCTCTAGAGTCAAAATATCAAGAGGTTTTCATATGAATCTTTATAGGAGAATGGAACAATTTTTTATACTAAGTTTATTTAGGAGAATAAACCAATTAACATATTGATAATTGTGATATAAAAATAATATTATGTCACACTTTAAAATGACACATTTTAACTAAAGTTTAAAGAGATTCCACAGAAAATTAAATATATTTAGAAATGAATGGAACAAATAGTTTGCAGACACCTAAAAGACCATCAATGATAATTTAGCTTTTCATCAGCTGAGGAGAAACAAATTGGCTTCATTTCCGAGATAACATACTGTAATTGGCAAGAACTGCACTTTCCGCAGTACTTTTTTTTATAGCTTTTGGGCAACCATCCATATTTCCTATACAGTAAATGGCCAATCACCAAACTGTAAAAAACTCTCAAGGGTTTATGGACTAGCTGTCTATATAAAATTATCCTTTGTAATTTCATATGAAATATAAAGCAACATTTTTTCCATATGTCAGTCATCAAACTCCGTTTCTCCTCTTCAGAAGATACTTAGAACATCTATACAGAAAGAGTGACTGAGAGTTCAAGCTGCAATGCCAAAAATACATCGGGCAAGAAGACTGGATGGTGATCATATGAGATAGTTAAATGTTGTAAGCATCCCACAGAACAGTGGTTCTCAACCTTTGTAATGCCATGAGGACTACCCAACCGGTCGTAAGTTGAGGACTTTCCCTGCCCGGGAACGCCGCGCATGCGTGGTGCCACCCCTGCGCCAGCCGAGGCGTAGCTGGCAAGCGGCAGAGACGGAGCAGGCCAACCACCGGCTGGGCCACCAGCTGGCCCAGCCCAAGGGAAGTAAGGCACCCGCCGGAAAAGGGAAAAAAAATGGTGGACAGCCTTGCTTGGCAACCCCCGTGAAATGGTTGATCGACCCCAAATGGGGTCACGACCCATAGGTTGAGAACCGCTGCCACAGAAACCAATATGTTGGTGCAAAATTTTGTTTTACAATATACAAAATTCATTCTACAATAATTACCTATTACATATGCAATATTTTAATATATTTTCAGAATGTTTATCTTCCTTTTTAAAAATCATAATAAGATGTGGAGCCAAATTTAAGAATAAGTGGATTGTATTTCATGCCATGCATCTCTGTTCCTGAAGAAAGAGTAAGAAAAAAACCCATCAAACAAAATCTAATGATAAGGAGATGCCTAATAGCCTTACCCTGCTTCTTTACTTGTTCCAAAAGCAAATCTTTCATGGCTGCTTCCTCTGCAAGGTCAGATGGGACTTCACCTTCACTGTTCACAGCAGCAACATTGGCCCCGTGACTTATCAAGTACCTATATAGATGAAAAATAAATGAGACTCCACTTCAACACAAGCTTAATTTATGTGGCCCTCAAACAAGCCAAGTCATCAGATAAGAAATCTTCCATCACAGGAAAGAAGCAGAGATAGTTAATTTTTCAGTTAACTGAAAAACTGTAATAGGTCTATAATCTTTTGGAAATAACCAGGGATTTTTTCCCATGTTAGTAATATTAAACTACTTCATTTTTTAATGGAAAGGGATCATTTATTCCAAATATGCATCTCTAATTCATCAAACCTCTCTATGCAAAAAAAGATTACAATTCTTATGATTCTTACGGTTTGGCTAATTTATATATTCCCATCTCAAATTCATCTTGCCACTGTAGTATTATAAAGATCATTATCAAACATTATAATGCAATCATATCTTATCAGAAATAAGTCCCACTGAGTTTAGTGAGACTTACCTCCAGGGAAAATATGGACAACAGTTCCACTTGTTAATTTTCTGAAGTTTGCATTCCTTACATCTCAAATGGTTTCAACAGTAAAAGGAACTCTTAATATCACTGCACTGGATCACCATACACTTATATTTATCAAAGAAAGCTAATAGAGACTGGCAAATATGGAACTCACCATCCCATCTCATTGCAATAATTCTGTTTTCAAAGAAACATTCTTGTACAGTGGCATTCTTCTGAAAGTGTTATATTCCTATTATTGATACTGTAATAATGGGTAGAATAAGAACTTTCTGAAATTGAGGACCATACCATTTTCCAGAAACCAAGGACCCAAGGTGTAGGACAGTAACATGCTATAATGCTATCACCAATGGAAACTGGGCTGGAATTTTCAACCTATTTTTCCAGCTTGGATAGGGGAATTAAGGTATGTTTATTATTAGAGATTCATCTACCTTATCAGAAAGTGAAGATTAGGCTTTGCTTTATTACAGGTAGTCTTTGCTTACTAATAACCCTTGGGACCAGGACTTCTCTGTGAGGCATGACACCACATAATTATGCTGATTTATAATAGCAGTCCCAGTTGCTCTCATTAGGCAAATCCCACATGGTCACAGGGTTCCGCTGTCACATGATTACCATTTGCAACCTTCTGGTGGCTTCCTTCTTGACTCTGCTTGTTAGAAAACAGGAGTAAAAGTCGTAAATGGTGACCACATGACTTCAGGACTATGACATTGTAATTGCAAGCCAGTTGCCAAGTGCCTGAATTGTGATAACATGACTATGAAACACTGTAATGGCCAGAACTATGAGGACCCATCATAAGTGCTCCTCGTTCAGTTCCGTAGTAAATTCAAATAGTCACTGAATAAATGGACATTAAATGAGGTATCATCAATATGCTGATGATACTTAAATTTTCATCTCTATCCCTGGTGAACCAAGTGATGTGACAGCTGCCTTCTCAAGGTGTCTGGAGGCTATGGAGATCTGAAAGGGGGACAACAGACTTCTCCTAGCCTTACCACTCCTGCTCAAAGAGTTTGGTTAGGAGAGCCTTTACAAAACTTTATGTTGTGCACCATTTGCGCTCTTTCCTGGATTGTGAGGCCCTGCATACAGTCACTTGTGTCTCAACTGAATTACTGCAATGTGCTCTACATGGGAGTACCGTATATTCCGCAGTATAAGGCGACCCGGCGTATAAGACGACCCCCGTCTTCGGCACCGAGTTTCATGCCTAGAAAGTTGTCTTATACGCCGGAAACTACCATAATTTCCGGCGTATAAGACGACTCAGCGTATAAGACGACCCCTAACTTCGGCGCCGATTTCCACGCTTCCAAAAGTCATCTTATATGCCGGAAAGTATGGTACTCCAAGTATTTGGAAGCCACAACTGATGCAAAATGCTCCAGATAGTTCTAGAGGCCTCTCAGGTGGCAGATGTAACATCATGAGCTGCCAGTTTGCTTCTGGTTCCAATTCAAGGTGTTGATCATTAGCTTTAATTAGCCTTCTATGGGATGGTTCACAATATCTGAGGAGCAATCTCATCCTAATGGGACTAGTTCACCCCACTAGTTCCAATATAAGAAAGCTGGTTTAGATCCCATCTGCCAAAGAATTTTAGCTGGTGGGGTTCAGAAGAAAAGCTTTTTCTGCTGTGGCCCGTGCCCTCTGGAATAGTTTCCTGTTGAAGATTTGCCCTCAACACTCCTGGCCTTCTGGAAAAGCCTGAAAGCCTGGTTATGCTGGTTGGTCTGGGGCTACATTGAAGGGTGGCTGACAGGGTAGAGAGAAGATCCCCAGCCCGATATTGCCACCCTCTTTTAGCCTCCTGTCTAATCCTAATAATTTTAATTCTTTTGTATTACTTTTATTTTTTTTATTATATTGTAAGCAACCCACAGTTGCTGTATCTGTGAGATTGATGGCATAACAATTTAATGAATAAAGAAATAAGGGCTACCTGTGTTACCACTGTTATTATTAATTTTTCCTTTGTAGCATCACAAAAATGAAATAACAGCTGATATGCATTTGGAACCTATTTGACATCTTTGATGTTATAGAGTCTTTTGGTATCAAAGATCCTATTTACTTTTCATAGGATTTCTCTAAGGAACTAATTGCATGTAGTGTTTTTGATGCTGTTAAATAATAATACCAACACAACATAATCATCCTAAATTTAAGACTTCATGCATTGCTGAAGTGTCTTAAAATGTAAATCAGAGAGAGATAATATTAAAATCAGAGTTACCATTGCAATATTCTGACACATTCAGTTTATTGTTTTTATTAATCTGATCCCATTATTCATTGGGTTTATATCCCATCTTTCTACTTATTTTGAGCATTCCATCATTTGCACTGAAGATTTAGAGGACTGCTGATAATTTCTGTTGCTTCAGCTAATACTTTGTAAAGCATATCCATACAAGCAGAAATATACCTATGTTTTAGTCTCTTAGGTACTTGCTTGTGAATTCATTTAAAATTATTGTTCCTCTCACAACATCTGAAACTGAAATAAATCAAATACTCTTTCTAATATCCAGGTCACACTGAACTCACTCACTCTGCTATGTTCAGATAGCCACAAGATGCAACTGCATGAAGTGGGGTCCATCCCTCGTTATCTTGCTGATTTACATTGGCTCCATATTCTATCAGAAATTTTACCATGTCCAGGTTTTCATCTATACAGGCCTTTGGAATAAGAAGGGAAGTGGGAATGAAAAGAGAGAGAAAGAGAAAGATCAAAATGAGCAAATATCACTTTCCGTTTTAACAGATGTAAATAATAGCAGAGGCTTCACTCCCATACTGAGCCTGCCTTTCTTTCAGCAACCACTGATATCTTCATACAGCCTGGTTCTCCTTTCACTATGCAAACAAACCAGGAGTCAACTCCCCGCAAAATGATCTTTTGGTATTCATTTTAGGAATGGCATCAAATCCAAGAAGCAGATTAAAAGTTGGAACATGTTATTCCAGGAAAGCTTCAATGAAAAAGATTATGTCAGGACATTCACTGGAATGATATATGGGAGAACTAAAGCAAGTAAGATTTCTGCAAAATACTTAAGAGCCAATTAGAAAAAAGGAACCATTACTTAACTTAGAGAAAATAATGTAGTAGGGTCTTGTTTGTTTGTTTGCTTGCTTGCTTGCTTGCTTTTGTGTTTGAGTCAGGTTTGAAGAATTTTTTTTATTGCTGGCAACAGTGTGGAGAGGTGTCTGAAGTTTTTTTGGCAAAATTTTTGAAGTGGTTTTCCATTGCCTCCTTCCTGGGCCAACAAAGAGTGACTGGCCCAAGACTGTCAATTCTAGTCTCACCTTAGGCACAAAGCCAGCTTGGACCAGTAACTCTGTCTCAGTTTAGGAAGGAGGCAATGGCAAACCACTTCCAAAATCTATCCAGGCAGTCACCCAGAGTCAACACTGACTCAAAGGCAAATCTAAAGATAAATCTATCTTTATCTTTATCAGAGATCTGCACTAATACAAAGTGTTTGTCTTCTCAAGTAGGTTCCAAACATAAAATGTTCAAGGAACCTAAACAACTTTAAGAAAATAACATGTGCAAACTTTATGATAGGTCAGGTGTATTTTGTGCACTGAATACTAAAATAGAACTGATATACATATTGAATAAAATAAATTGTTTTTACAAGTATAATATACTGGCTTCCCACTAAACGGACAAATTATTCAAACAAGAAATAAAAAAGTACTTGGCAATGCTACCTACATGCCATAAAGAACTATGTCTACCAAGACACAAAATTGGGACGTTCTGCAAACATGCTAAAATATTAAGCAAATATCAGGCTTGTGCTGCACATTTGTTTGGAAATAAATTATATACAATTGTGTAAAAAGAACTACTAAGTGTAAACTGCAGTGTAAAAATAACGACTAAGCAAATAATATGGAAAATAAATTTACAAGTTATTCCATTAATTAGAATCCAGATACAATGGTGAGCTCACATATCCAGAACACATAAAATAAAAATACTATATGACTCATATGAACTCTTTGGGAAATGATCTGATGAGTTGCAGAATGCTACCTCCTATATTCTATGGCTTCAGGATGTTCTCTTAGCCACTGGCTAAAATGCAAAACCCATAACAAATAAAATACAGTACACAAGAATAACAGAAGTAATAGTTTTCTTACTGGTACATGAGAGAAGCATATAGAACCACTTATTTAACTGCAGTTTAAATCTCCTACTATGTTTATTTGAGTGGCAAAGCAAAACCTAACAGCTGAATTTCATTTTGTATAGCAAGCCCTAATAGAACAAAAATTGTGGCTTGCAAGCTGTATGCGGTCAACCAACCTGCCAGTAGTGGGATTCAAATATGTGAACAACTAGTTCTCTGTGCGGATGCCGCTTCCAGAAGTCCTTTCTGGGCCTGGGCAACAAAAAATTAGCTATCGGTTCTGCCAAAGTGATGCGAAATTGCTGAATCCCACCACTGCAACCTGACTACCCCAATATCAACTGCTAGCTATTATATAGATGGGCCTATTTATTCCATTATTTTTATAATACAAGAAAAGGTATACTAGGATCAATAGAGATATAAAGACCTAAAGTGAAATTATTTTTTTCTCACCTTGTAAAAATAATTTTCCTGTTTTTCTTTTTTCCACTATTGTCCACATCTGTTGTTTTGAATGCATCAGAAACATCACTGCTTATTTTTTTTAATCTTGATCTTTAACCAATGCAATACATATTTTCTTAGATAAATGTTAGCCTTTTTATTTACCTTTACTTTATACATCTTTTCCTTTTTGCTTACTTTTACAGATATATGTTGTTGTTGTTGTTGTTAATTGCGAAGTCGTGTCCGACCCATCGCGACCCCATGGACAACGTTCCTCCAGGTCTTCCTGTCCTCTACCATCTTCTGGAGTTACAGATATATAATCTTTCTTTTTTTTCTTTCTCTGATTCATGCTTTTTAATATTTATCCCTTTTATATTCCATGTCACAATAATCCAGACAGCCTGAGAAACACTGAAAGCTGTTACCCATAATAGTTTTAGTCAACTAATGCTATCACATAACACTTTTTAGAAAACTATAGAAAGCGTAGACTAGATTACCAACTTAGTCATATCTATGCAATTTGCAGTATCAGCAGTTGTGGGATTCAGCCGGTTCACACCAGTTCGGTAGAACCGGTAGCTAAATTTTGTTGAGTTTGGAGAACCGGCTGAACCCATGCTGCTTCTGGAAGTCAGGTTCTAGGCCTCAGAGGCCTGGAGGAGGTCTCCCAGGCCTAGAACGGCCCACCAGAAGTGTGGGGATGTCACTTCCGGGAGTACGTTCAAGGCCTGGTGGGGGCCTCCCAGGCTTCGAACAGCCCACTGGAAGTGTGTTGATGTCATTCTGGAAGTCCATTCTAGGCCTCGGAGGCCCAGGTCTGCATCCACGCAGAGAACCGGATGTTCAGGTATTTGAATCCCACCACTGAGTATCAGTATCAATCAATTTTGGTCCAGGTTGACTGCATGCACAACCAATGCTCCGTTTACCCACCACAATCCCTATGTGACTTAGCATCTCTAAGCTAGAGATTGGTTTGCAAGCCAATACATTGTTGCCCCATCTTAATTGATGATGAAATACATATTGTGCACTACATAGTGTACCGGTACATACTAAAATGCTAAAATGACAATCATGTAGATTAATTTGAATATATATTATAATTGAGTTTATTTGGCTACTTACATGTTAATTTATGGAACTAGGTTTCACGAAGAATAATTTGTTTTTAATTGCACCCTGACTTTATTTTGCTTGCAATATTGTACTATTATACTATGCACTGTATATTTTACAACAAAACATTGTCTTCCTTTGCTACTTCTCATTTCCAACCCTCCAAATCAATAAATCAAACAAATAAAACCAACGATAAATTAGTTAACCATGTACTTTAAAAGGGTGATTGTGTGCTTTTTCTAAGCAAGTCCAAATTGTTTCTAATTTTATTAAATGCTCATCAAATTCATCCAAAAAAAAGACAACTTTTGGGGGATTGTAAAGACAGTTTTTCATATTTGAGATGTTACAAACGCACTGAGTACATATGAGTCAGCAAAGCATGACCCAGTAACTGTAACTCTCACTTGAAAGTCAGTTCTAAGTTCATTAATGATTTACATTAAAATAATTGTATTATTACAATCTTTAGAGAAGATAAAATAAAATAACCTTTATTGTCATTTTTTACTGCGGGCACACTGGCACACATTAAAAATGAAATTCTGTTGCTTGCTCTCAAAAGTGTACAAATACATAACACACATATAAACATGCTATATAAAACACATGTATATACTTTAAAAAATTAAGAGAGATTACGTATAGGCATGATTTGGGAATTATTACAGATAAAAAACACAAAGGAAATAACAGGTGAGAGAGCAGGCAATGATAGTGATTGGGTATAACAGAGTCTGGCTCGATATTATGGACTTCTGCTTTGTGTTTTTTTTTTCTTCTTTTTCTCTTTTTAAAATGGTAATGGAAAAATAACCTGGTGCATTTGTTTGGATTTTGCACAGTGTGTAAATCAAGGCAAAGTTATATATGGCCATTTTGTTTTTTTCTCTTCAGTCAAACTCAGATTTGCTTTTTTCTTGCAAATTTTGCATGTTGCATGTTGACTAATGCAACTTAAAAATCTCACTTCTAAATGGATAATATGATATATTATACATTTAGAGAAGGGGAGAAGCTGCCACTATCAATTCTGTCATACTGCAAATGAGGACTCTAGAAAAATCTGTAGAAATAACTGGCACATTTTTTTTTTCAGATCCACCCTTTCCATGAGGTTTATGGATAATCTTTGGTCTTAAAGAATGTAAGGCATACTCCCATTTTAAAAACTTTTAAAATTTTAGGATTGTAGATTAAATGTATTTAATATATATCACACAGAAAGCTCAAAATTATATAGCAGTATAGGTAGTCCTCGACAACTGAGTCCAGAATTTATGTTGCCCCCTTTTACAATTTTTCTGCCACATTTGTTAAGTGTATCATTGCTGGTCAGAAAGTTGCAAAAGATGATCATATGACCCATGTGCACTGCGACCATCATAAATATGAACTAAATGACAAGCATCCAAATGTAAATCACGTGACCCTGTAGATGCTGCAACGGTCATAAGTGGGAAAAATGGTCAGTGCTGTTGTAACTTTGAATGGTCACTAAACGAGTTGTTGTAAGTCGGGGACTACCTGCACAAACAGCAGCATTAAATCAGATCAACCAGCAGATTGAAGCAACAGCACCTGTTTGTCTCTTGAAAATTTGGCTTCTGTAATATTTAATCAGGCCAAATTCAATTCAAAAAGCAAGAATCTAAAGCACAGTTTCTATTCAAACTATGAACCATACTTTGATGCCTTTTGAGTAACTCTAGCTCTAGAATGTCCAGAATCTTTGCCACTACTGTTACAGTATATTGTTGTAAAATGCTCCCAGATTTGGTCTGGCATACTATTCATTTCCCTGTGATCTAATTTTAGCAGTTTCTTCGTCTAAAACAGGTACAAGTTCTCACAGTTCAGGGACCATTGCAGTTTGTTGAGCATGTCTAGGGATAATTTCAAAATGAATGAACTAAGGACCTACTTAGGAAGAGGATTTCAGAAATTTTAAAT